ATTTCCTAATTCAGAACTCAAAATCTTCATCATCTTTGCACACTCCTCTCTCATGTCTTCCATATTCTAGTCTGTTATAAGAACTGGTGATTTTTCCTTTGCAATTTCCCATCTTTTTCTCTTTTCTCCCTCTTAGTTCCCCTGAATCTAGATTCCAGACTTTATTACTTAACACTTGGACTGTTATAGCCTCTTAATTGCTCTTTCAGTCATCAATGTCTTTATTCCCAAATCCATATACTACTGTCTTCCTAAAATGCTATTTTCATCATTTTCCCACTAGATTGTAACCCACATCATATCAGGGATTCATTCATCTTTAAACACTGTACAACTTGGCAAATATGTTTACTTAATCAATGTGTGCTGAATGAATTAATTAATATATAAATTGCATCACTCTCCTTCTCAAAACTTATCAATTCTCCACTGTCTTCAACAAAAGTTACAAACTGGGGTCAGGCAGGATATCAAATATCTAAATACCTACTGGGGCCAGGCAGGAAATGTAAGTGATGGTGTGTGTAAAACAACCAAAGTGCTGGGGACTGAGGCAAAGGTGGAGAGTGCAAGCCCCATCTAAAGGGGCAGCTGGTTGCTATTTCCACAAATTGCTGCCACGATTAAATACAAGCTTGGTATTGCCAAGTCGTCTTATTTTTCAAAAGTGGAAAGCACAGATTTCTATATAGAATCTGGCTTCTAAATAGTGACAATTACATTTAGTTGTTGAAACTCTGTTTAAGTAAAAAAATAAATAAATCTTCCAAAACTGTGCAGGCTAAACAAAACACATTTATGGGCCAACACCAGCCCTCAGATTACAAGTTGGTGTCTAGGACAAAAGATAAACTCCTGACCTAACATACCAAGTCCTTCACTGTGAATTCTGAAGCTACCTTACCAAGTTTTTTGTCCACTACTTCCATATAAGAACCCTCTGCTCTTGGTGCACCTGTTCTCAAACTTTAGAATGCTTCGGAACCACCTGAAGGGCCTGTTGAAACATAGATTGCTGGGCCTGACCGCCATCGTTTACAATCCAGTAAGTCTCACGTGGGGCCTGAAAATCTGCATTTCTAACAAGTTCCCAAGTGATGCTGGTGCTACTGGTGTGGACCACACTTTGGGAACCATTGCTTCACTTAAATTACTCCTAGTCTCAGGCACACACTTAATTTTGCTCACATTGTTCTACCTTCCCAGAAAGCCTTCCCTCTTCCTTTTAGCCCACCTTCTTCTATAAACTTTGACTATGATGGTCTTTCACGCCTCCAAATTCCTGTAGCACTTAGGCTCCATGTCATCTCCCCTTTATCACTGCATAAAGTCTTTTATTACTAACTGTTTGTGTATAAGTGCCAATGAGGTTAAGTATTCTCCAAGATTAATAACCAGGTTAGCATCTTATACACCTGCCTATATGTGTCATAAAAGCAGGGGTTCTGTCTTGTCCCCCACTGTAACCCCTCAAGCTATAAGAGAGCCTAGTATACAGTAGGTGTATTAAACACTTCTTAAATGAACATTTGACAGATCTATGAAACTAAAGTGCAGATAAGTGGGCCTGAATTTTGGGTACATAATTTTTCTGGGAGTACTGACTTTTGGTCCTGTATATTACTTGGTCAGGATAGACAAGTAATGAAAACAGGATATTTTGCAAATGAACTGCCAATAGGTAACAGTTATCTGTAGCAACAAATTCTGTATATAAATGAAAGAGTGCATGTTAATTTAAAAATTGATAAGAATAAATCCTTGATCTCCAGGATTTCTTACCGCTGCAAGGATGTAAGCTGGTTACAATACCTATTTAACAGATTCTATATTGGTACCATATGCAATAAAAAAAGTATAATGAAAGTAATGAACTCCCCATGATATTCAGAAAAATTGATCAGTCCCTTCAGATATAGTTTGGACAGTAATATACTGTCCAGGGTTTCAAAGGCTGTGTGAAAACAAAATCAAAAGCTGTTCACCTGGTCTCTTCCAGTAGCCTCGGAATTCATAGTGAAGGACTTAGAATGTTAGGCCAGTTTATCTTTTATCCTTCAGAGCAGAGTCACCAACTTGTAACTTGAGGTCTGGATTTGGCCCATCGTGGTCTTTGGGGGTTTGTTCTTTACCTAAATCACTGCTATCAAGTGATTTCAAGGATGATTTATGGGTAGAAACTTGGTCTCCAAACTAAACCAGAATAACCACAAAAGACTTTATAGGCTAAACCCAATTTTGGAACTACTAGAAGAAAAAATTAGAAATACTATATATTTTGATAAATAGTCCAAAGTTCTTACTTGGCTTTTGGAACAACTCTACCACACCTGATAGAATTACAATCAATGGAATAAGAGAAAAGCTATAATTTGGCAAAGACAGAGAATCCAATTCAGAAAACAAAATAAAACCTAGTTGCATAAGATGGATATTTACAGTTTTAAGCTAGAAGAGATGTTACCTTACATCCGGATTTTTGCCCTACCAGGCCCATAATGATCTTGTCTCCATGAGGATTCAGCCAAGACACTCCACATTTCTATGCTGACCAGGAACTATTCAAACCGGGCAAAAAAAGAATTACAAAGACAAGTCAACAAAACACTAAGCAGCTTATTCCAAGTTTTAAAGTCATTAACATTCTAATAAAACCGAGCAAATTTACCTAGCAAAACAATCTTCAAACTTCAGAGTAAAACTATCTACCAGAAGCTAAGGAAGTAAACGCTATCTGATGAATTGCTAAACTGCAACTTCCTACTCTACTATTTGCAGCATCAGATATATCTTACTATCAGAGACAACTGAGTAATAACATCCAGTTCTTTGGCAGAGAATGTGGAGATTCAGGAAACTAGATTCTAGGACCACCTCTACGACACTATGTATCAGAACATTTCTCTTAGCCATATTCGTATCTCAACAGTTCTAACTACAAAACCAAACTTACAGTCAGTAAAAATGCTGTATAATAAAATAACTATAAAGTACATGCTATAAACAAGTATAAAGTACTATGCTCATATTAAGAAATGATCTTATTGATTAGGTTCCACTTATAGGTGAGATCATATGGTATTTGCCTGATCAACAAAACAAACAAGCAAGAAAAATATAACCGGAAATACTGAAAGAAAAAACAAACCGACAGTAACGAGAGAGGAGGATGGGGAGTAACAGGGAAAAGAAGAGGAAGGGTCAAGTCAAGAAACATGTATAAAGGACCCACAACAAAGCCAAAGTGGAGGATTGAGGATGGGAGGTGGGGGTGGGTGAGGCAGCAAAAAGCGGTGGCGGGAAAATGGAAACAAATGCATTTGAACAATAAAAAAATTAAAAATTAAAACAAAAAGAAATAACCTTGTTACATATTTTCATTTATAAATGAATCTGTGAACTTACATATAAACAACAAAAGTCTTGGACTGAATTTCATATTATAGAGTTGCCAACTTTTAGACTGTATTCCAAATGTAGTCTGTGATAGAAGATGACCTACCCTCTCTTTTTTGCAAGTTCATCAATAGGGTGCACTTTCAGAACCTTAGACATACAAAACTAATCATAATTAGTTTCCATAATTATAATCATAATTATAGATTCCATATCAGAGGAAACCCCTTCCACGTACGGCCATTCCATCATGGACCCACTGGAGTGCAACATACGAAAGGTAAAAATGCACTAGATATAGAGTAAGCCATGATCGTGCCACCAGATGGTATGTCTAAAGAGATTTTCAGTGCTCATTAATAAATCAGCATGTTCCCTCTAACCACAGAATACAGAAACAGAAATTACACAAGTGAAAGAAAGGGTCAAAGGCCTCTGGAAGGGGTGTAGGTGTTCTGTTCTCCCCGGGGAAACGGAGAGGGAAGATGCACAATAAAGTTTTTAAAGACATTTTAAATTCAGTTTGAAATGGAGGCTGTCGCACAGCTGAGCTTCAATCACAAGATTCCCAACTACCGTCTTGGCCCCCAGAATTCCCTATCTGCCTTAATGACTCACTCACTCTCTTTCTTCCTCGCTGAATGAAAGCAGAGTCATAGAGCTCCTCCTCCGAAAAAGGAGAACAATACTTTCGAGTACTCCTTTTCACAGGTGTACTCAACAGAAGAAAAAAGAGAAAAGAGCTTTCGACTCTTAACAGAAAAAAGGGCTGCGGACGCATGGGATACTATTAGCCAATGGGAACCCTGGCCGGTCAGCGCGGGTGAGGGGGCACCGCTAGCCACAGACGACGGAACAGGGCCGCGGGCCTGACCCCCAGACTCTCTTCGAGCCCCGGTAGCCTCTCCCAGGGGGCAGCACTTATTTCCTCGCCCGGCTCCCGGACGCCTGCGCGCGCTGCCCGGCGGCGACTACCAGCCTCATCCCAACCACCGCCCGCTTAAAAGTCCTCAACCGCCTCACCAAAAAATGTGTGACCCAGAAAGTCCGCTATTTGCGACAGCCCTTACAGAATTAGCAAGACTGAAGAAGAAGGAAACCAAACAAGTCAAAGCACGTTCAGGAGAAGCTAAAGCGGAGCAGGAGCGACCGCCAGGCAAGAGCCAGGCGGCCACGGCCAAGCAGACTAGAGCGTCAGGAAAAGGGAGGATGCGCCGGACAGACGCGGAACGCTGCAAAACTGGAGAGGCGAGTGGACGGGTAGGGTAGCAAGACTCCTGAGATGAGGGCGCCCCGACCTAGCGCCGCCAGAGGCACACGCCCCGCAGCCGTTGCGCCGCTGCCCGGGAGTAGACTGCTCTGGCCTCCCCGCCCGACTCTGGGATAGGCTCCAGGTCCCCCGACAGCTCGCACACTCACCGCGCGCGCCGCTCCGGCGCGGCCGCCCGCCGCCCGCCGCCCGCCGCCCGCCGCCCGCCGCCCTCGGAGCGATCTCCGCCCCGCCCTCCGTGTCCGGCCCGCGGACTGGGCCTCCGGAGGCGGCGTGGGAGTCACGTCACGGCGCATGCGCTCTCTGGGCTCTTGCAACGACCCGGGCAGAACGTTACCAGCTAGGCGTGCTGGTTTCCTTAGAGACAGAATCAGACCTGAGCGGCGGCGGAAAAACCACCAAGACCGCGGGTCTCTTGGAGAAGCCAACATGCCGTCGAAGGGAAAGGAGAAAAGTAAAGGCAAGAGCAAAGACAAAGATAAGAGGAAGTAAGGAGAGGTCACCCTTCCCCGGGCCTACTCTCCCGGGATTCTGGTCGGGGCCACCTGACACAGGGTTGCTCACTGGAGCCATCCCGCTAGCCCTCCTGGACCTTCCTCTCGCTCTCCCCGATTCTGGGAACAGTTGACATTGTTCACAAATTATCCAAGTGCATGCCAAAGTTTACTGCTTCAACTCAGGCAATAGGGTGAGATTTGGGACCCTGAAATAATTTAGACACAGCCCCTGCCTATGTGTAATACGTTAACGATGGAGGCAGGTAAGTTCCCAAAAACCCAGAACCGAATGAAATAGGTGCCAGTGGAGGAATGAAGAACTGCGAATGAGGAAGAGTTCTGACACTGGAAGTGAAAATCAGGACATTTATTGGAATATTGGAGGTCCCCTAAACCAGCGCTAATAGGGTAGTCACCAGCCATGTGTAGGTAAATCAAAATTAAATAAAGTTAAAAATTTAGATCCTCGACTGTACTAGATTTATCTCATACACTCTATGCATTTGTGGCTAGTGGTGACTATATTGAACAGCCCAGATACAGAACAGTTGCATCATTACAGAAAATTATACTGGACAGCAGTGCTCTAGACCAGAGGCGATTTTGCCTCCCGGGGGACATTTGGTAATATCTGGAGACATTTTTGTTGTCACATCTGGGGATGTGTGCTATTGGCATGTAGTGAGCAGAGACCAAGAATGCTGTTTAACATCCTGCAATGCACAAGACAACCCCCTCACGCCCGACCCCAAAGAATCATTTAGCTCAGAATGTCAGCAGCGCCAGGGTTGGGAAACCTTGCTCAAGACTATAAACTTCTCTAGAATAGGCACTAAACATTAGACCTCATATTTCCAGGACCTAGCAGATGCTAATATTTGTTCAATAAACAAATTAAGGTGTCTGCTTGTGTATGCTTCCACCTAGATGATTATTCACCAAGAGCTATGCTCCGGGTTCATTGTTTTTTGTTTTGGTTTGTGTGTGTGTGTGTGTGTGTGGTAGTATGTTCTATAGCACTTAATAAAATTATAGAACTTAGTATTCGAGAATGGTGGTAGAAATACAGGTGTTTTATAAAACAGCATAATTTTTGAATGTTGGAGACACACATAGCTACTAATAACTTTGGAATAGTTCAGGTCTTCAAAATAAATGTTAGGGAGGACAACATGACGTGCCATATTGATGAAATCCTGGAACAGATGGAGTATCTGACTATTGATATCCCTAAGAGGAAGACAAAAGTTTTAAACATTTATCCAGTAATTTAGTGTAAATCAATTCCTAATTTTTTATGTCTTGGAAGCAGATTTTTTTACTTTAATGAATGATTACAACTGAATTGCACTTGCCTTACCAGTCATCTTATTTACATGGGATTGATTTCCCCTTTCAGAAAGCAACCATTAGTTTCTTTTCCCTCATCCAAGATTTAAAAAAATAGTCAAGCATTATATACAAACACAAAAAGGCCTACTTCAAGTAACATGAAAAATGTAGCTCCAAATGATGTATGCACACTGACACTAAGTGCATTGATACACTCTATACAAAATGATGCTGCTGACCTTACACACAGTTGATAATATAAAACAGTGGTTTCCAAGCAAATTACTTAATCAGACCCTTAGAGAGACTTCAAAAACTTTATTTTTAACAAGGACCCAAACGATTCTAGGTTTTGATTTGGAGGAGCACTTCTAGCCTCCATTGTGTCAGATGACGTATACAATAAAATTAAATTAGTCATGTAATTGAACAAAAAAAATAATTTATTGGGTTCATTCTTTCTTGATCCTAGTCTGAGAGAACTCTGCTATGTGGTTAAGATGACCTTGAACATCTAAAGGAGCTTTGTCTGATTGAAGTAGTCCCTTGGGACTTTTAGGGATTCTTTCTGGTTCAAAAGAAAGTGTAAAGGATTTTATCAAATTGAATAATTGTTCAGATTTCCCTAAACTCCAACACTTTCTTTTTCCCGGCTTGAAGTTGCTGCTAGATTGCCACTAACCTATGGGGTGACCCTGGTAGTTCCTAGACACATTGGAGTCATACATGGTGTGACTGCACCATGTATGTGGAGTCACTATACTCCACAATACTATGTATGGGACCACAAGGGAATCTGCCGAACTTGTAAAGTTTGTGAAGTACCTTGTTTAAGAGAGCAATATATGCTCAGTACAGAAAGTTTAGGAAACATGTAAAGTTAAAGGAGAAAATAAAAATCACCTGTAATCTCATCATCTAAAGATAACCACTATTATCATTTTGGGATATTCTTTATAAAATGAACATATTTACTTGTAGCTTTCCCCCATATATTAGTATAAGTATTCTTCTACGGTGTGATTTTTAAAAATATAACTGCATAGTCAGTCTAGCACTTTTTAAAAGTGCCAAGGGCTTATCATATTCCTGGAACTCACTAGCATGTTTTCTATTTTTGACCATGCATCTACAGTACACATACCAACAATAAGGAACATTGAGTGTAAGAGACGCCTTGTTTCTTTGATTTTCCATGACTCATAATTTGATAAACCCTGCTTTGTACCTATAGTCAGTATTAGTGGTCCTCCTATTTGAAATCCTATCTGATTTCTTTCATCAAATCTGAGGAGCTTAGACTTGATACCTTCAAGGAGCAATTGGATGACTGTGACAAGCCAGGCTATCACTACTACCTAAATTATGCTAGTAAGGGACGTCAACAGCCATAACAGACTGGGGGGTAGGGATGGAGCTGGCCATAATTCATAGAGAACAAAAGGTGAGAGTGGGACTGAAAAGGGATAGAGGACCAAGAGTTGGTGGGGATGGAGGGTGACAGTATAGAAATGTTCACACATACTTATGTGTGAAACTATTTAGAAATCAAATACAGGTAAAGTCTTCGTAATTATTATCTAAATATATACCCAATGCCTACCATTTTTAAAGGATAGTGTTTTGTTAATACTCATACAATAAATCTTTATTTTTGAAAAAATAATCTCCCTTTTTCCACTTGAAGTTTTAAAGTAATTCTTTGTTATTATTTTTAAATTTCCTCTCCCCATCTATATAAATGATTATGATTTGTTTCTCAGCCATCCTCAAAGCCTGGTGCATTGTGGCACCAGAAGAGAAAGTATTTAACATACTTGCCCTAGTTACTTGATCTTTTGTCCAAGGCCTAGTGGGGCGGGGGCCGGGGGGACAAAAAACACAACTAAAACTAAAACTAAAACAAAACTGGAGTTGGGATAAATGGAAGATTACAGAAATAGGGACTTAAAGTTACATTTATACTACAGATGTGTCATCATGGTGAAGAGGAACTACGGTAATGGATTTGCAGTAAAGAGAGCCAAGGTCTAAGACTGAGCTAGTAGGAACAGAAAAGACAGTTCAAATATGAGAGAATCAAAGAAGTAAATGAAAAGATGTGAGAGCTTTATGAAATGCATTTAACTTATTATGCCTTTTTGTTTTTCCAGTCCTTTAGAGTTAAGCTCCAAAGCTCCCCTCTTCCAGGAAGAGTCACCTACTAAGATAACTCCCTTATCAAGTAAATATGTATTTCTTATTAACTAATTCATCCAGTAATATTTGCTCATATGTGCCAGGCAACACCAAGCAAAACAATAATAGAAAGATGTAATACTACTGTAGTAGAAAGTAGTTATATGCTATCAATGTCCTCTTCCCATTCAGGAAGACAGTAAAATATGATGAATCTGCAGTGGAGAGAGCCAAGGCCAATGCCTCCCTTTGGGAGGCCAGGCTGGAACTCACAGAATTCTCTAGGACTGAGTATCGTGATGCTTCCCTGAGACTCGCAAAAGCTAATGAGGACTTAAAGAATCAGCAGTATAAAATGGAGAAAGACACCATGTCTGTATTAAGCTACCTGAAGAAGCAAGATCAAGAGAAAGATAATATGGTAGGTAGATAGAAACCCTCCTGAGCCTCAGTAACTACCTCTGTGTTATACTTGCTTGCTTATATATTTAAAGGATTTTGATTTCTTGAAATCTTATAACATAATTAAAACATTTGAGTTGATTTTAACTCTCTTTCAAGCAGGATGCTATTTCTGAATGGCTTTACTGTCATAACTGGATCTTTCTTATTTTCAGTTCTTGTCCCATGTTTTCATGTCTGAACAAATTGATGATCATAAGGGAACATTACGATCCATTTTATTTTAAGGACAAGAGTATGGTATATGATCTATATATTTTTGATATTGATAAATACTTCGTTTTAATGATTTGTAAAGCTAATCACTAATAATCTATGATCACATTATGAATCCAGTAAGTTGAACCTTGAATTCATTTTACAGAACTTATTTAAGTATTGAAAAGCTAGTATTTTAGATCTGGAAGAAAAAGGGATAAAAACGAACATTTTGGAGCCCCTATTTGGTGCCAGGCACTATGCTAGGTACCTTATCTCTGTTATCTTGTTTAATCCTTTTAATAACTTCATGTAGCTACAATATTGTCATTCCCATTTTACAGAAGAAGAAATTGACTCCCAGAAAAGACAGATAATACCCAAAATCACACAGCTAGTGGGTGTCAAAATGGAATTTAGGTGGAACTCTTCTCTTTTCCATCTGCCTCTTTGAGCCCCATGGAAAACTCAAGAAATTTTCACCCTGTTGAGGATGGGGTGCATCATTCCCGTGTAGGTTCTTGTAGTTTTACTATTTATGTATTATGCATTCACAAACAATACATACTATAATCTTGTTTTAAAATTTATCTTAGTAGTATTATACTGTACATGACTTTTGCAACTTGTTTTTTTATTCAACATCATGTTTTTGTAGTCTAGTCACAGAAATCAATATGATTCAGTTTATTTTTTTTAAAAAATTATAATGAACATGCTTTATATTTTTATTTGTTCTTAACCGCTTTAAAATATTCCATTAAATAAGCCAAATTTTATTTATCCATACCCTGCTGTGGGTCAGTTAGACTCCTTTTTTTCATTATTGCAAACATTCAGTGAACATTCTTCTGTGTGTCTTCATATGTCCATGTGTGAAAGTTTCTCTAGAGTAGATACTTAGAAGTTAAATTACTACATTACGGGGTATATATGGTTTCAACTTTACAGAGGTTTAAATTGAGCCACAAAGAGGTTACACCAATTTATACTGTCACAGGTGGTATTTTAGCATGAGTTTCTCTCTGCCAATATTGTTAATACTTGATAATACGAGATCTGTCCAGAAGATAGCCAGCCACGTAATATTAAAAATAGACACATTTATTAAAAAAGATACAAAAAACATTGTACATAGGACAATGACACCTCAGTCCCCTTCAAAGTAGACACCTTGGGACCTCATGAAGTTCCAGTCGCCATCAGCTGCCGCATTGTATTTACCTGAATCACCTCGAATGTCTGAAATCTTTTCCCTTTCAAAGATGATTTTATCTTTGGGAAAAGCCAGAAGTCACAAGGTGCCAGATCTGGGCTGTGGAGGGGCTGAGTCATTGGGTGATTTGATGTTTTGCCAGAAAACTCTGCAAGAGATGTGATGCATGAGTGAGTGCATTGTTGTGATGAAGCTGCCAAACACCAGTTGCCCATAGCTGCAGCCTTCTGAGTCATTGAAATAGTTGCCATGGAGGAAATTTTTGAGCTTAAGGCAAAATTTGATGCTAATTTGTTGCTCTGCTCATTCAGTCACTTTGTTTTTCTTTTTGTTTTTTGTTTTTACATTTTTATTTTGTTGAATAGATTCCACTTATAGGTGAGATCATATGGTATTTGTCTTTCACCAACTGGCTTATTTCACTTAGCATACTATTCTCCAGTTCCATCCATGTTGTTACAAAAGGTAGGAGTTCCTTTCTTTCTTTCTTTTTTTAAATGCAGATTTTATTTATTTATTTTTTAAATGTTAAGATCCATTATAAAATATTAAAAAATTTAAATCCATTATAAAGTCTCAGCAATTAAAACAACATGACGCCGGCACAGAAAAAATCAAGTAGATCAATGAAATAAAATGAGCATTCTAGAAACAAACGTATATATCTATCTAACAACGTAATATATGTAATGTAATATACCTTACAATGTAATATATGATTAAACAATGTAATATATGATTAACAATGTAATATATGATTAAATTGATATTGCAGATCAATGGGGAAAATAAGGCTTATTCAATAAATAAGGTGCATGGACCACTATTACTTGAAATAAAAATAATATAGAGCCCTATTTCACACATTAAATAAAAAATATTCAGGTGAGTTGAAAAATATGTAAAATCTAAGGAGTTTTAGGAGAAAATACAAAATAATATTTTCCTTACCCTGAAGTAACATGTTCAAACCCAGAAGCTATAAAGTAAAATATTGACAATATGACTATATTAAACATTTTAGACTATGCAGTAATATACATATTAAAAAAGTTAAAGAACAAGTAATAGAATAGGACAGTATTTGCAACATAACTATAAAAGATTAATAGTTGGGTTTTTTTTAGGGACAAAATTCTACAAACATTTAGTCAAAAAAATGAATAAAAAACACCAAAAAGTCATTTAAAGCTTTCTAAAAATAATAGAAATAAGCAAGAAATATACAAAAACAGGTTTAGTTTCAACAAATAATAAAGTAACAAAATACCACATCATTGTCACAATCAGATTAATAAGTATTAAAAATATTGGTAATACCAAGTATTGATGACTGCAAAAGGAATTGGGTATTCATAGACTCTTTTTCTTCATCATCTTAAAACAGTTCCTTTAGCATAGCTTGCAGTGCTAGTTTGGTGGATGTGTATTCTTTTAGCCTTCTTTTGTCTGGGAAACTCCTTATTTCGCCTTCCATTTTAATTGAGAGCCTTGCTGGGTAGAACATTCTTGGTTGCAGGCCTTTGCTCTTCATGACTTGGAATATTTCTTGCCATTCCCTTCTGGCTTGTAGTGTTCCTGTTGAGAAATCAGCTGCTGCTGGCTATAGTGGGGCTCCCTTGTATGTTACTACCTCTTTCTCCCTTGCTTGCTTTAGGATTCTCTGTTTGTCTTTGATATTTGCCATGTTAATTATAATGTGCCTTGGGGTGGGCCTCATTGGGTTCCTCTTGAATGGAACCCTCTGTCCTTCCTGGGTTGGTGTGACTTTTTCTCTCCTCAAATTAGGGAAGTTTTCCATCATTACCTTTTCAAACAGGTTCTCTATCCCTTGCTCCTCCTCTTCTCCTTCTGGTATCCCTATTGTATGGATATTATTATGTTTCAGGTTGGCCTGCATTTCCCTAAATGCCTCTTTGTTCTTTTTGAGTCTTTTTTCATTTCCTTGCTCTTTCTGGGAGCTCTCTTCTACCTTGTCCTCCAGCTCACTGATTTGATCCTCTGCTTCATCCAGCCTGCTTTTGATTCCTTCTACTGCGTTCTTCAATTCAGAAATTGTATTCCTCATTTCCTCTTGTCTCTTATTGATAGTTTCTATGCCCTTTTTCATGCTGATATAGTTTGCAGCAAGCTCCTCCTAGTTTCCCTGTAGTTTTTGGTAATTCTCTCCGAGGTCACTGAGCTCACTGAGCATCCTTAGAACCTCTGTTTTGAACTCAGTATCTGAGAGTTTTCTTGCCTCTATTTCATTTAGTTCTCTTTCTGGGTATTCCTCTTTTCCCTTCTACTGGGTGGGTGGGTGGGTGGGGTATTTCTTTGTCTTCCCATTATTTGTGAGGCCCTTCTTTTTTGCTTCTGCTTCTTAAATTGATCTGCCTTGACTTCTTGACTTTGTGGTGTGATCTTCTACGGTAGGAGACTGCTGTTTTTTCTGTCTGGATCTGCCTCTGATGATGTCAGATGTTGACCCTGTCTGACCTTAAGCAGTCTGTTTAAGACTTCCAGGAATCTGCTGTCTGTGGCTCTCTCCTTCAGCTGTTAATCTCACACTCAGTCACTTTGACTGCAATGACCACACACTACGCATGGTCACTCAAGGATGTCTACTGCCCTTCCCACTGACTAGTACAGTAAAGTTGTTATTGTTCATGCATGCACATTCCAGTCCACTCTCCTTGTCTGTCAGGTTACACTGATGTTGCACAAACTGTTCTTGGTACATTAACAATGGTTGGACTTTTGTGGACAGACCTTAATAATATTTGTTTAATTGTATGAATTTAAACTGGTGTCTTGGGGTTTTAATTTGTATTTTCCTGATTATTAGTTGTTTGAACATCTTCTGTGTGTTTCTTCACCCATGTTTTATTGTTTATTTGTGTGTGCTTCTGTACACATATGAGCTAATTTTGGAATGATGCAAACATGGCTCCTACTATGGTGACAATCAAATTCATGCATCATTCTGTAATTTTTTCAAATGTCACCTTTTCAGTGAGACTCTTCCTCACTACTCTCTTTAAAATTAAAACCGCTCCCTTATTTTATTTTCTTTGTCTTATTTATTACTTTCTGTCATGCTGTATGCATGTTACTTATGTATTTGTTTATTGCCTCTTTTCCAGATTAGAATAAAACCACTCAGAAGTATAGAATTTTGAGCCCTTTTTAAAATTGTTGTTCAGTGTTATATCTCCAGCACCTAGTATGGGCATGGCATATAATAGGTGCTCATTAAAATATTTTTGCATATATCAATGAATGGCTTGTGAGTATACTGATGCTTTGAAAAAGTTAATAGCAATCAAAACTAAGTTCAAGATCATATTGATACTTATCTATCAGGGAAGATACTATGATCATGAAGGTGGTTTTCCCAGGGCAAGACTTACCCATTACACTCCAATGACCCCTGCGATTTCCCCAAATGTGGGAAACTCTGCTGCATAATTTGTGTGTGTGTGGCAGGGGGAACTGCATTCATGTTCTCCCTTAAAAAAATAAAAAAAGATGATCCCGGGCTGGGATGGCTCAGTGGATTCAGTGCCAGCCTGTGAACCAAAGGGTCACTGGTTTGATTCCCAGGCAGGGCACATGCCTGGGTTGCAGGCCAGGTTCCCAGTAAGGTGCATGTGAGAGGCAACCACACATTAATGTTTCTCTCCTCTTTTTCCTTCCCTTCCCCACTCTCTAAAAATAAATAAATAAATCTTTTTAAAAAATATTACATTGAAAATATATTAGAGAAATAAGACAACTGAACATTTGTGTAGATTTCATGTATTTTATTAAAGTACAATTTTGTGCATTAGTGTTATTTTTTTTACCTTCTTTCCTAGGGAACCTCTGTTTTTAAAATTACTTTTTGAATAGCAGGCATTATCAAAATTGTCTTCTATAAAGTATTATCCTAAAGTAAGTTGTTAGGCCAGCCATACAAATAATTTTCATTATTAATTACATAGAAGCTTTGTGGCCTGCATTAGCTTATTGATATTGGTCTGCATTTATCAGTATCACTTGTATTTCTTGATTTTCATCTGCCTCCATATCTCAAAGGTCCACATCTGGCTGAAGAAAATGCATAATTTTTCACAATTATGGAGTTCCATTAAAACCAAAGAAATTACTTTGGGAAGAAATAAAGCAGATTCACTATTTCCCGGTTCTAGCTCTCCCATAGTTTTATTACTCATTTTTCCTTATTGTAGAAATGCATAGTTTTCTTAAACTTTATTTAAAGTGTTATAGTCTTATTTCATGTTAATTATAGAAATAATAAAAATAAAACATTTTGAAATTATTATATCATGAACAAAATTAGGAGATTTTTCCTTAAGGGGAGGTTTTTGTGCTCAATGTTTTGTTCAGTCAATCACAAAATAAATCTCTTATTTTTCACACCTTTCCTACATGGCTTAGATCTCAATTTATTTTTTAGAATTTGTGGGTTTTTCTTAAACAACTCTAAGATATTATTTAAATACAACAATGTGTCACTTCTGTATCCTCTAATTGTATAACCGTGTCAAGGAGTTTTTAGCTTAAAAGCTATTTAGGTTCCCTACTAAAATCAGCATCCTTGGAGAAATTGTTGATTCCAGGACTGGGTCAAGGAATGTAAAAGATGAACCTGGAATATCTTATTGCACCAGAGAGTAAGTAAAAAAATATTAAAGGACACAGGAACTATCTGGAAGGGGCTCCTACTGGATAAATATGGGACAATCAAAATAATGACAGTAATAGATAAAAACCCATTGAATAGAGTAAGTCCATGAGTGCATACTACTAATAAATAAATACATTCATTAACAAATGAGAGAGAAGGAACAGTTTTTCCTTATAATAGAATGCAGTAAATTATTAACATTCCAAGGAATGATAATGGAGTTAGAATAGTAATCATTTAGCATCACAGTAATAACTGATTCAGTCAAGAATTATCAGTGGAAGCTACAACTAGTGGGTGACAGTTTGAAGAGTAGAAAAATATTTGCATAGCCTCAAAATATTTTTCTACAAATTAATAATTACAAAAGGAAAAATAGTAACTTTTAAGTGGAGAAACCTGGCAGACACAACCTTAACCAATTGATTGAAATTGACATTAGTCACCTCATGACGTGATGCACTGGAAAAGCTATACCATCACTTTGGCAGTGTATGCCATCCAAAAGTGCAAAACTTAAATCTACTCATGAAGAAATATCAGATAACCATAACCCTGGCCAATATTCCTCAAAAATGTCAATTCATAAAAGACAAAGACTGAGAAATTTTTCCAGATTAAAGGAGACTAAGATACATTACAAGTAAATATAATGTATAACCAAGGGTTATATCCTAGATTGGAAAAAGAAAATTTGCAACAAGTAACATGAATGGGACAAGTGGTGATAAAATTTGAATATAGACTGTACATTGTATCAATGTTAAATTTCCCAATTTTGATCATTGTACTATGCTTCTTAAAAAGCATGTCCTTTTTCTTGCCCTGGCTTGTGTGGCTCAGTGGACTGAGTGCCAGCCTGCGAACCAAAGGGTTTCCTGGTTAGATTCCCAGTCAGGGCACATGCCTGGGTTGCAGGCCATGTTCCCAGTAGGAGGCACACAACAGGCAACCACACATGGGTGTTTCCCCCTTTTTCTCCCTTCCTTCCCCTCTAAAAGTAAATAAATAAAATCTTTTTTTAAAAAGTATGTCCTTTTTATTAGGAAATATATAATTATATAGAGGCAAAGGATCATGATGTCTTTAACTTATTCTCATGTGGTCCAGAAAAAAACAATGTAAAAAAACATCATCCATACGTGTATACCTATATAATTATATATTTAGATACAACTATCTATATATGCAATACATAGAGAGGGAAAGCAAATGTGCAAAACTGGATGAAGAGTGTATGAGAAATCTTTGTACTCTTCTTGAAACATTCCGTCTATAAAGTTACCCAGATATATTATGCTAAATGAAATAAATCAGACGGAAAAAGATAAATACCATATGATTTCACCTACATGTGGAATCTAAAGAGCAAAATGAATGATAAGAAAATGAAAATAGAAACAGACTCATAGATATAGAGAAAAGACTGATGGTTGCCAGAGAGGTAGGGAGTTTGGGGACTAGGTGAAAAAGATGAAGAGATTAAGAAGTACAAATTGATATCACAAAGTAGTCCTGGGAATATAAAGTACAGCACAGAGAATATAGTTAATACTATTGTAATAATTATGTACAGTCCTAGGTGGGTACTTGAAATATCTAGGGGGCCACTTTGTAAAGTATGTATATGATTGTTGAACCACTATGCTGTGCATCTGAAACTAATACAAGATAATACTGAATGTCAACTGTAATTAAAAAATGAAACTTAAAAAAGTTACCCATATAAGAGAAATGTGTATCAAAACAACAATAAAATATCAACTCCTACCCATGGCTACTATCAGAAAAAGAGAAAATTACAAGTGTTGGAGAGGATGCAGAAAAATTGGACCCCTTGTTCATAGTTGGTGGGAATGTAAATTGGTGCAGTTACTATGGAAAACAGTATGGAAGTTTCTCAAAAAATTAAAAATAGAATTACCAGGTGACCCAGTAGTCCTACTTTTGGGTATATTTCCAAAAGAATTTAAAGCAGGATCCTGGCCAGTGTGGCTCTGTTGGTTGGAGCATGATCCATAAACTGAAGAGTTGCAGGTTTAATTCCTGGTCAGGGCACATGCCTAGATTGTAGGTATGGTAAATCTATGGAGGGCAATCAGTCGATGTTTCTCTCACATCAGTGTTTCTTTCTCCCTTCTTCTCTCTCTCTCCCTTCTCTCTCTGGAATTAATAAATAAATAAAAATATATATATATATATTTTTTTAAAGAAATTAAGGCAGAATCTTGGAGAGATAGTTGCATGCCCATGTTTGTTGAAACATTATTCACATAGCCAAGAGGTGAAAGCAACCCAAATGTCCATTGATGGGATAAATAAAGAAAAAGTGGTATATACGTAACATACAATGGAATATTATTATGCAGCCTTAAAAAAGAAGGAAATCCTGTCACATGCTACATACAACATGGATAAACCTCAAGGACAGTATGCTAAGTGAAATAAGCCAGTCGCAAAAGATAAATATTGTAAGATTCCACTCATATCAAGTATCTAAAGCAGTCAAAATCAAAAATAGAAAGTAGAAAGGGGTTGCCAAGGGCTGCAGGGGAGGGAGGAGAAGAAATCAGTGTTTCATAAGTATTGAATTTCAGTTTTGCAAGATGAAAAAGTTATAGAGATCTGCTGTACAACAATGTGAATATATATAACATTACTGAATTGTACATTCAAAAATGGCTAAGATGATCAATCTAATCTTAATGTTCTTTGCCACAATGTTTTAAAAAAGTTACTTGGGTAATTATGATGATAACCAGGTTTTGGAAACTAGCAATAGCAGGTTAAGGGTATGAAGCATGTCCCCTCTTCTCCTCTCCCCACCTTACTCAACTTCTCCAACAGTACTGGTTTTAATATCACGTAAAAACAAAGCTATTTAATAAAGGCAGGACAACAGAAATTTCTCTACTTTCTAATTGTGTTTTTGTTTCCTACAGATTGAAAAACTGAAACAGCAATTGAATGAAACAAAGGAAAAAGCCCAAGAGGAGAAGGAAAAATTGGCAAGTATCTATGTACACTAATCCTTCACTTACCAGGTGATCAGGTTTCTGGCAAGCTCATATTTAAGGCACAATAAGAACAAATGAATAGGCCCTCTGAGAAGCTCATACACATGCTGTACAGAAGCTCAAAAATAACACAAAGATATGTTACTTTAGAAAACCGTCTGGTATTAGTGGTGCTCACTGATCCTGAGTTTGACATCCTTTCTATGGCTTTTCAGTAGACCAATTTAGGAAATACAGAAATTATTAGAGATTAAAATACGTTATGAGCCTTTACTAATATTTTCAACTCAGATGCAGAAATACAGGGTTTTTACTTAACTTTATCTGTGTCTCCTTTCTCCTCTACCCCAAATCCTGGTTCTAAAAATACCAGTATTAATTGTGTAGTTGCCTTAAACTTCAATACATAAACAGAGAATACTAGTATCAATACTACCACCAACATAGATTAGCGGAAACAGTTTACAATTTTGTGGGGCACTTTTCTCCTTAGGGTATATACCAGTAGGAATCTATTATCAAATTACAAGGTTTAAAAACCATTTGAAATAATTCTCTTCTTCAATGTTATACCACCAAATCAATAACATATTTTGCTTTTGAGTTTTAGGAATTGCTTTTGAAAAGGTTAATTGTGTACATAAAATTACGTATTTATATAAATATTGATAATTATGTAAAATATGTATGTGGTTCCAAAGTTAAATCTATCAAATATAGTATATTCTAAGGAATCTAACTTCTGTCCCTATGCTCACAATATACCAGCATACATTGTCAAATGGATTTTTGTCAACATGATAGGTGAGAAGGGATGTTTTAGTGCTTTTGAATTTTTATTTCTCTTATTGTGAGCTAGGTTGAGCATTTTTTTTTTCATATGTTTAAGGGTCAATTGTATAAGTTTTGATATTTCTTGTTCTTTCTTCTTTTTTTTTGCTGTTATTGGCCCTTTTCTTCTTCCTCCTCCTTTTCTCTCTCCTTTTTTTTTCTTTTTTAGTCCTCCTCCTTTCTCCCTCCTCCTCCCTCTTCTGTCTTCCTTCTTCTTTCTCTCACCTTCAACTTCCTTCTTTCTTTATTAGAAATAATAGCCCTCCCTTTGTCTCTTAGTTTACCAATTTTAATTTAGGGCCAGAGACATTGTTTATCCTTCTTATAGATTAAAATTGCTTTTAGTCTTATCATGCCTCTTATTAATAAATATCTGCATTTTCTATACAAGGTCAGCTCATTCTAGAATTTTTTTCTTATTCAAGGCACTTGGTATCTTTTAACAAAAATTAAAACGTTATGCAAAAATGGAAAGGGAATATTTCTTCAAAGAAGATAGACAAATGGCTTAAGGCTTCAAATGGAACATGACTCTGTGGGACTTCTACTTTTTTCCTAATTGACTTACTTGTTTTGTTTATTTTTGCATACAGGAACAAAAGTATACGGTGCAGATAAGTGAGCTGGAGGGACAGTTCAATCAGAAAGCCAAAGAAATTGGCATGATTCAGGTAGAGCTAAAAACAATAAAACAATTCCAAAAGAGAAAAATCCAAGTGGAAAGAGAATTAGATGATGTAAGTTTCGTTCTTTTCTTTCCTTTAAAAAGGGGAGTTAGAACCGACTACTGTGTCCATAAAAGCCCTCGCTGATGTTTACTCCTGTGAGATGGGAAAAGGGTCCCTTTGACATATTAGAGATTGTTTTTGACAGTAAAAGCATAAAACTTATCGTTTAGGGCTAGATGCAAAAGGTCTTGATGGTTAGACTTTTCTTTTTCTAAGCATTGATTTCTTTGTAAGTTTCCCAACTCTTAGCCAGCACACCCTCCCACATTTATCAACAGCCAAACCTTTGGAGTGACATCAGTAAGAAACAAACTACAGTTCTTTGAAAACATTAGGGGCAAAGTAGCAAAGTCCTAAAGGAAAATGTTTTCACCAGCGATTTTCAACCTTTTTCATCTGATGGCACACATAAACTAATTATTAAAATTCTGCAGCACACCAAAAAATGTATTTTTTGTTGGTCTGACAAAAATAGGTATAATTTTGATTCATTAACACTGGACAGCTGTTGTTATGTTGGCTGTTGTCATTTTTTAAAATTTGACAGTCTAAGGGAAAAGAGGTCAGTGCTCCTGACTAAATAGTCAGATATTGCATATTTTAAAAATTCTTGTGGCACACGGTTGAAAATCACTGGTTTAGACTGATGAACCATAATTTTAGAAAACTTTAGATCATTGATCATAATGCAACAAATATCACAGATGAGTGCCAAGCACAAGCAGCTGAAGTCAGCTTTGTGACTTTGGGCAGGCTACTTAACCACTCTATATCGTAGTTTTCTCATCTGTAAAACAGGAATAATATGAGCCTCATAGAGGTGTGTAAGGATAAAGTGAGTTCATATATGTAAAGTGCTTAAAATAGTGCATATGACATAGTGAGAATTATATTAACAGTGGTGTACAGCTCTCTGGAAAAAAAAATCCTGATTTGTAGTATTTGCTGATTTCCTTAGAAGTAAATACTTATATTATGGCCAATTTCAAACTATCAACGCTTTAACAACCTGCTAGCAAAATCTCGGGGTAAGCTGGCTCTAACACACCACGGAATACACATGAATACTGTTGCTAATAGTAGTAGTAGTAATAATAGAGGTAGTATTGCCACCAAAGATAACCATAAAGCATGTAGTGTAGGGTTTAGAAGTTGGTGCTCTGAAGTCAGACTGCCAGAGTATAAATACTGACTTCATTACTTGGGTACCTTGTTAAATTTCCTCATCTGTAACATGGAGGTAAGAATAACAGTACCTGCTTCAAAAGGGTCATTGTGAAGAATAAAGAAATTATGTTTTACATGCTTAGTACTATGTGATAAATGTTACTTGCTCTTGCTTATGTCATTGCTTTATTACTCCTGCTAAAATTATACTTATTCCTATTGGTATTATTCAAGGCCCTTCTCTATCCCTTTCAGTGCATCTCACTCTCAATCACAGTGTATCCTCCAAGTACGCAGTGTCTTTCAAGCTCTCCTCTTGTTACCCAAGGTCCTACTTAGCCAGAACAAGCCTTGATGGGAAACCAAAGTTCTTCCATCTTACTTCTGTTTACCTTTTAGCTAACTGCCAAGCTGAAAGGGCATATGAGAAATGAGTAAAGTAAATAAGATAATGTAGTGGTTGACATCATGGACATTGTGTCCTGGCTCAGAATTGAGGCCTTGGATAGTCTGTTAACTTCTCTGCATCTTAGATTCCTCATTTGTAAAATGTGGCTGCCGTATCACCTGTCTCCTCTTAGAGATGTTGTGTGGATTAAATAACGTAATGTGCGTAAAGTACCTGGCACATTGGCTCCTGCTAATCCCTGGTAAGAGTAGTTGCATAATAATTATTGATGTTTTGATTATTGTTATGATTATATAGCTTTAAAAATTGTAATAGAGGACTCTTTGAAGCCCTGATTTAAAAAAAGTCAGTATATTTCTGACAAGGTGGGGAGTGGGAAGATACTTTCTTAGATTGGGAGGAATGTGTTTTAATTCCATATCATAATTGTGTTATTATCCCAAAACCTTCCCATGAGGCTGACTTTGTTCATGAACTTGATTACTTATTGCTTTGTATCTGTTATAACTGTTGCGTTAAAATTTAAAACTGTTGGTCTAAATTTTGTAGCTCACCCTTATACAAACTCCTTTGCAGTATTTTCTGAGGAACTCTCCCTTCCCATGAATTTCATGTTCTTTAAAGTCCTTAAAATAGCAGTTACATTAACTGTTTTCTCAAGTTGTTATATGTTTGTGTTCTTTAATCTTAGTAAACTAAGGAGAATAAAAAAGGAACCAAAACATCTACTTGTGCATGTATTTGTCACTGCTCTCTAGTTCTTAAACTAGTACTTAATAATAAAACTTGCTAAATGAATGATATAAGGAACCATCTAAAACTAAAACCTTTCATAGAGTTCATCAATTCTTAGAGCTTGAAGAAACTTCAAGGGCCTACTTAAGCCATTCTACAGATGAGGAAAGCTGAGTCACAAAGTGAAGTGACTTTCATGGCAAGTTGTAGAGCTGGTAGCAGCATCCCAGTGTCGCAAATTCCTCTAGTACCTCTAGTCTTGTTCCCTCTATCTATTTCTTCATCTACATTAGTTACCTATTATAACAGAACAAATAACCCCCTGACCCTAGAGGCTTAAAAGAATAATAAACATTAAACGCACAATTTCTATGGATCAGGAATTCAGGAGCTGTTTAGCAAGAGCAGTTCTGACTTACGGTCTCTGATAAGGTTACAGTTAAGATATCAGCCAGGGCTGCAGTCACCTGAGGGCTTGATTGGAGGCTGAGTACCCAAGGTGCTGACTCACAGGGCTCTCACATCAGTGCTGGTCATTACTGAGAGGCTTCAACCCTCTTCGTAAACTACCTGAGTGTCCTCACAACCTGGATGAATTTACCCAGAGTGAGACATCCAAGAGAAAGCCAGACAGAAGCTATCCTTTTCTTGACCTAGCCAGAAATCACATAGCATGACTTCTGTCATATTCTGTTAGTCAGAAGCGAATCCCTACGGCTGGCCCATTCTCTAAGGATGGAGAATTAGGTTCCATCAAAGAAGTCATCCACATGTTTTAAAGTCACCACACCACCACAGTCCAAAATACCACTACAGGAATGACCTTAAAATATCAGTTTTGATGATGTTCTGATCACTCCCCTCAAGAATCTTCTTTAGTAATTCTCCGTTGTAAATGGAACATTGTCCAGATATCTCAGTGTGAGTGTCAAGACCCTTCACCTACTTTGGAACACTACTATCTCCTTTTACTACACCTCCCCATGCACACAACCTTTAATCCACCCAAATTGGATATTTACTCATCCCTGAATTATTTTATGCCTTTGTTACTTTGTTCACACTCTTTCTTCTACCTGAAATATACTCCTGATATATTTCTGTTAATTAAAATTTTACTTTCTTTCATCCAGCCCCCCACCCGCCTCCCCTCTGACAGCTATCTGTTCCATGTATCCATCATGGGAGAGTAGGCCTTAAATGTTCTCACCACAAAAATGAAATTGTAATTATGTGATGGTGTTGGGAGTGTTAGCTAATGCTGTGATGGTTATTATTTTGCAATTAATAAATGTATCAAATCAACACATCAAACACTTTAAATTTACATAGTGTTACATGTCAATTACATCTCAATAAATCTGGAAAAGGAAATAAATAAGATTAGCAAAAAAAGTAATAATTTTCTGTGCCCCTGTAGCATTGTTTCTTTTTTATACTACTTAAGCCTATTCTATCTTGATATTATATTTATCATTTGTTTATCTCCCCAATAGATTGTAAATTCTTTCAGGCACACACAGTGCTATACTTTTTATTCATTGAAATGCAAAATATACAGTAATGCTCAGTGAATATTTGTTAAATGCTGAGCAGGTCTTTTCATTAAAAATGTAATTGAAGGGGCCCTGGCTGGCGTGGCTCAGTTAGTTGGGTGGCATCCTGCAAAGCGAAAGGCCTACCAGTTTGAGTGTTGGGATGCGTGCGAGAGGCAACCAATCGATGTTTCTCTCTCACACTGATGATTCCCTCCCTTTCTTTCTCCCTCCCTTTCCCTCTCTCTAAAAATAAATAAATAAAATCTTAAAAAATATAATTAAAGGGATATCAAGTTTTCTAAAAACTAGGTGGGAGGAATCCTTTTGCAATATATACATATATCAAATCATCACTATGTACAAGGTGAGGGGGACCCAAAAAAATTATCTTTTGGAGGGCAGGTCTCTTGTAATACAGGCTTCCCCCACTAGGTGAGTGTTCTAGGAACCCATCTTTATCTGTACCACCTGGTGGTATTATGAGAGGCTGTGTTCTGCTTCAGTGAGTTTTCTTTTTGAAGACTCTTTCAACATATTTCCCCAATTCCTGATGGATGATTTACAGCGCACCTGCCTACACTGTGCTGAGTGTTCAGCAGTTTTTGACCCAAAATGGCATGACCCTATGCCCCACCCTCCCTATTCACCTGATCTCACCCCAAGTGACTTTTTTTGTTTGTTTGTTTGTTTGTTTCACTGGATGAACAAAGTGCTCAATGGGAAACATTTTGCTGATGTGGAAATGATGAAACAAAAAATGGTAGAAGTACTAAAAGGCATCAAAACCAGTGAGTTCAAAACCATTTTGAACAAAAGTCTTGATAGGTGTATTTCATCAAATGGAGAGCACTTTGAAGGTGACTGAAATTTAAACATGTAAGAATAAATACACAATTTTTATAAATAAATTCTGGGTTTTTTGGGTCTCCCCTCATATACTTGAAATACTTTTCAGTTTTGTCATTTATACCTCAATAAAGCTGAAAAAAATGCCTGGAAGGAATAAGTTTTCTTTTATATGAAAACTGCAGATTGAGTCAAATTAAGTTCCTTAACATACATATATATAATTGATTATGCTATTACAGTTGTTCCATTTTTTTCTCCCCTTTATTCCCCTCTACCCTACTCGGCCCCTCCACCCAACATTCTCCCTGACCCCCTTGGTTCATGTCCATGGGTCATACAGATAAGTTCTTTGGCTTTTCTGTTCCCTATACTATTCTTAACCTCCACCTGTCTATTTTGTACCTACCAATTATGCTTCTTATTCCCTATACATTTCTCCTCATTCTCCCCCTACCCTCTCCCTTCTGATCTCCATTTCTGTTATTCTATTCCTGTTCTAGTTGTTTCCTTAGTTTGTTTGTTTTTTTTAGATTCAGTTTTAGTTGTGAGTTTGTTGTAATTTTACTGTTCATAGTTTCCGATCTTCATCTTTTTCTTAGTTAAGTCCCTTTAACATTTCATGTAATAAAGGTTTGGTGATGATGAACTCCTCTAACTTTACCTTATCTGGGAAGCACTTTATCTGCCCTTCCATTCCAAATGAGAGTTTTGTGTTTTGAACTGTGCATCTGATAGGTTGGCTATCTGTTCATCACTTCGTTCTGTTTTGGGAGCTTTGATCTGTTCTTTCATTTGGGCCATGTTTGTTTGTCTCAGTGCACCTCTTATGTTAGGACAGGCAGAGCCTTAGGTATTTGTCAGGGCGGAGCAACCCAGGTCGCTGCACTGTGATGTTGTGTGTGGGGGAGGGGTCCGAGAGTGAACCGTGCCACTTGCTTGGATCCCGGCCAGCTTTTAGTCACTTCCCTGCTACCCACAAGCAAACTGGGCCCTTTTGGTGCTTATTGCCAGGTGGGTGGGTTTGTGTACGTTCTGGGACCCTTTGGGTCTCTCCAATGGACTCTGTCCAACAGACTCTCCTGTGAGGCTGGGAGTTTCTCCTGCTACCACAACCCCCACAGATTTTTACCTCCAGAGGTTTTGAGACTTTTTTTCCTGGAACCCTGGATTGCATGGTCTGTCTTGCTCCTCAGCTGTTCCTCCAGTTTATCTGCACGCAAATGTAGGACCACCTGGTCCTCCATCCGTTGCCTTGCCCCCCATCCTCTCTGCCCCAGCTGCCCATCTCTGCCCCTCTTATGGGTCTGGATGAATGTTTTTTCTTCAGCTCCTTGGTGGTTGGACTTTACTTCCGTGCAATTAGATTTTCTGGCAGTTCTGGTTATTTTTTGTTTTTAAATTTGTTGTTTTCCTTCTTTTGGTTGTGTGAGGAGGCAAAGTGTATCAATCTACATAAGTTCCTTAACTTTTCAGGAACTCTCAAAATAATCATCCTAAATGGAGGAGGCTTACACTCTGATTCAAAGTGAATTAGGAACTAGTTCCTATTCTAGTGGGCCACAGTGATTCTTTTTTAAAGAACAATGTTGCCACCTAGGGGACAAAGAGATTTCATACCTCTTCAAAAAGGCTGTTGGGGCAAGAAAACTGAAAATTCAAAGGCTTATGGGGAAAAATAAGGTGGTTCTGTGGAATACGGAAGAATTAAGTCTGGTGTGGAAGCCTGTGAACCAAAAATTGTGAGGTAAATGAAGAAAATTAAGTATACTGTGCAATTGAATTCATTGTACAGACTTAAAAGAGGCTAACTACATTTAGACTATCAAAAGGTAGTCAAAGCATTCGTTTTAAAGGAAAAATAATTTCTCTCTACTTGATGAGAAAAAGCATACATTGGTAGATTGCAGTTATTATTTTTTAATAAATTGTTTTGTCTTTCTTTTTTTTGACATAGCAATGATATCCATTTCAGCAACTTTAGCTGGTAAAAAAAGAAAATGACCCCCTTCCCACCACACACACCTAGGAATAACCATTATTAATACTTTGGTGTATTGTTTCCTTTTTCTTCCTCTGCTATGTAGAAACATTTAAAATATTTTTACAAAAATGAAGCCATGATGTACAAATTTTTTGTTAACTGACTTTTTCACAATATATTGTGAGCATTTTTCAGTGCCATTACGTATTTTTCTATAAAATCTGTTGACTAGATACATGAAATTCCATTGAGTAGGTGTGTCATGATTTTTTAGAAGATTTCATTTATTTATTTTTAGAGAGAATGGAAGGGAAGGAGAAAGGGAGAGAAACATGTGTGAGATCAATCAGTTTCCTCTCACACACCCTCAACTGGGGACCTGGCCTGCAACCCAGGCATGTGCCCTGACTAGGAAATCAAACCAGTGACCTTCCAGTGTGCAGACTGGCACTCAGTCCACTGAGTCACACCAGCCAGGGCTATCACGGTTTATTAATTGGTTCCTTGTTGTTGGACATTTCATTCTTTTTTTAAATTTTTCACTATTATAAACTGTGATGAACATCTTAGTAACATAATATCTTTCATATCTTTAATTAATTTTTTAAAAAACACACAAGAATATATTTAGTGATTTGAGAGAGAGAGAGAAAAACATTGATATAAGAGAGAAACATCAGTTGGTTGCCTCCCCTATGTGCACCAACACGGGATCCATCTGGGATGGAACAGCCTGCACCCTAACCTGGGTATGTGCCCTGGATGGAATTGAGCCCACACCTTTTGATGTATGGGATGACACTCCCACCAACTGAACCAGGCCTCTTTAATTAGTTTTTAGGATAATTTCTTAGAAGTGGAATTTGTGAGTTAAAGAACATGAACTTTTAAAGATCTTTTATATGTATTGTCTGTCTTTCAAAAGGCTGACTTATTAATTTAAAGATTTTTGAGGTGAGTCCAATGACATATGAAAACTTCTCAAAAATAAAAAGAACAAAAAAGAAAACTTTGTACCCCCCTGTCACACACACACAGGGGATGGCAGACATTTCCATAAACTTGTATATGGACATTAATTGTTTTTTAAAATGTTTTATTTATTCATTTAGTTTTAGAGAGGGGAGGGGAGGGAGAAAGAGAAGAGAAACATCGATGTGTGAGAGAAACATCAAGAGGTTGTCTCTTGCATGCCCCCAACTGGGGACCTTGCCTGTAACCCAGGCATTTGCCCTGATCAAGAATCAAACCTGCAGCCATTTCGTTTGCAGGATGATGCCCAACCCACTGAGCCTCATCAGTCAGGGCTTGACATTAATTTTGAAAGTCTTTGACAATGTAAGAGGCTGTCCCTCTATCCCCTTTTTTAAATTGTATTAAATTTATTGGGATGACATTGGCTAATAATGTTATATAGGTTTCAGGTGTACAATTCTATAACACATAATCAGTATATTGCATTGTGTGTTCACCAACCAAAGTCAGATCTCCTTTCATCATCATATATTTGACCTCCTTTACCCTTTTCTACTTCCCTCTATCCCCCTTTCCTTATGGTAACCACTGTAATGTTGTCTGCTCTATGAGTTTCTGTTTGTTTTTGCTTTCAGTTTTATATCTCACATATAAGTGAAGTCATATGGTTCTTAACCTTTTCCGTCTGACTTATTTTGCTTAGCATGGTATTCTCAAGATAACTGTGTTGTTACAAATGGCAGTATTTCATTTTTTCTTATGGCTGAATAGTATTAAGAGGCTGTTTATAAAAAGTTATATAAAAATAAAAGGAAAAAGAAAAACATCTAAAAGAGATCATGTGAAATAGAGATCATAGTAAGGAAAATTGTTAAGTATACGTGGAAACAATACTAATCATTATATTAAATGGTTACTATTCTAAGTATATGTATTATTTGTTATTTAATCTTTGGTGCCATATCCCTATAAGAAAGCTACTATTATTATCTTCTTTTATAGAAAGCTACTATTATCTTCCTTTTAAAAAATATTTTTATTTATCTTATTTTTAGACAGGGGGGAAGGGGGGAGAAAGAGAGGGAGTGAAACATCAATGTGTGGTTGCTACTTGCACACCCGCTACTGGGGATCTGGCCTGCAACCAAGGCATGTGCTCTGACTGGGAATCGAACGGGCAACCCTTTGCTTCACAGGCCGGCACTCAATCCGCTGAGCCACACCAGCCAGGGCTAAAATCTCTTTTTTAGAAAAGGGTAGCTTAGTGAATTAATGAGATTTGAATTAATGATACTGTCTCTAGATGTTCTTCTCATGGAAGGGATTTCTGTATTGAGAGGTTATATAGTCTGACTCCTTAGGTCCCTTTCCAGTGCTAACATATGATTCTGTGAGTCCACATGTTTAAAATGAAGATATTTAGAAAATGTGATTAGAAGAACACTTTTAATTTAGGGCCAGGGACATTGTTTATCTTTCTTCTGAGTGTTCTGAGAACTGTTATTCATGAAAAGCTTTTTAGGAACTCAGTATTGATCCTGTAACTCTATAAAAGATTGGGAGAAATATAGTACTCACAGACAAAAACTTGGAGTTTTTCTGTGTGTTCAGGATTAAGAGGTAGAGTAAAATAGAAAATGTTTCTTTACTGAGAGTTTTCTAGGACTATGCCCCAGTCAAGCCCATTTCATATTGATCAGTTTTTGCTTTTTTTAATTTTAATTTTAGCTGAAGGAGAATTTAAGAAACACAGAACGGAAACATCAGGAGACTCTTAGAAGACTGGAAAGCAAGTTTTTTAAAGAAAAGGTATGACATTAAGGTTAATTAAGAACTGTTTTGTTTGCCTTGGAGGTTGTGGCTCTGTTGGCTGGAGTGTCATCTCCTAAACCAAAGGGTAATGAGTTCTATTCCCAGTCAGTGCACATGCCTAGGTTGCAGGTTCAGTATCCATGTTTCTCTCTCTCCCTTCCCTTCTCTCTACAACTAATAGGTGTGTCCTCAGGTGAGGATTAAAAAAAAGAACTCTTTCGTTTACTGGAACAACGTAAGTATTTACATTTACATGCATTCTGAGACATATCAACTCTCCATTTGGTACTTTATTAGATGGTTGTTATCATAGTAGAATAAAAAACAGGGTGGGGATGTATTGGGTAGCCAAAAACTTCATTTTTCTGTGCAATGGCTCTAGTAGCAGCACTCTAGTAGCACTTAGTTGTCTTTAACTTCATTTGAAGAAATTTTGTTATATTATATTGTGACACCTGTCATATCAGTGTGCACTTTTTAAAAAACATAAAAATTAGTGAATTTTTTTGTAGCCATTTTACTATTGAAAATGGAGGATAATATGCAACATTTTCAGCATATTATACTTTATTACTTCAAGAAAGGTAAAAATGCAACTGAAACCAAAAAAGGTTTGTGCATTATATGGAGAAAATGCTGTGACATGTCAAAAATGGTTTGCAAAGTTTTGTGCTGGAGATTTCTCACTGGACGATGATGCTCCGTGGTCACATAGACCAGTTGAAGTTGAAAGTGATCAAATCAAGACATTAATTGAAAACAATCAACATTATACCATGCGGGGTATAGCTGACATACTCAAAATATCCAAGTCAATAAAGTTATTGGTGAAAATGAAAAATGTGTCTTTTATTTTACAGAAAAAACTAAACAGACTTTTGGCCAACCCAATATTTTAGATATTACAATGTCTAGTTCCCCTCTCCCCCCACCCCCGCCATTTAGAGGTTCTTGAAATCCTCAAGTGAAAGTGTCATTTTACCAGTGCTTTAGGACACATCCCCCTCAGTCTGGTGTTCCTCTAGTGGAATTAAAGCTGCATGTACCTCATTATACAGGGGAAGTGGGATTGGAGAGGTCGCTCTGGTGCACATGGAGTACATTTTAATTATTATTATTGTTTGGATCCCTTCCTAGAATATAATCTCCATGAGAATAGGGACTCTATCTGTTTTGTTCACCACAGAATCTCCAGTATTTAAAAAATCTGGTATGCTGTTATTGCTCCATAGAAATTTGTTGAATTAATAAATAATGACTGTCATCATTCTCATAAATAATGACTCTCTTCATTACATCTAGCAGAAATTCCTCCCAGCTCTGATTTGCCATACTGATGTGGAATTTTTCCCCATTTACCCATCATATTCTTTCTTTAATGGAGAAATTGGGAGGTACTGTAAGGTTCCTGTGTTTACACTATCATCTTTGCTGGTTCCTCCATCAATAGTTGGAGTATTTCACCTTAGGTCATATGGACAGGAGTACTTTATTTGACATTATAAAATACTTAACTTTTTGATGTGTAAAATTTGTTGTTAGAAATATAACTGTATTAATACAGCCTATTTTCTTTTTTAGCACCGACTAGAACAGGAAGCTGAAAAGAAGATTATAATGCTGGCAGAGAGAGCCCATCACGAAGCTGTTGTGTAAAAGACTGCTGCCTTTTTCTTTCTTTCTTTTTCTTTTCTCTTTCTTTCTTTCTTTCTTTCTTTCTTTCTTTCTTTCTTTCTTTCTTTCTTTCTTTCTTTCTTTCTTTCTTTCTTTCTTTCTTTTCTTCCTTTTTTTCCTTTCTTTTTTCTTTCTTTCTTTTTCTTTTTCTTTCTCTCTTTCTTTCTTTCTAAAAGCCCCGCTTACCTCTTTGCAGGTCTGTTTTTTTTTTTATTTCTTGTTCAAAAACATTTGCCTCCACCTTCCCACCACCACTTTCCCCTGCCCTCCTCCCCCACCTCCCTCCATCAGTCCTTTCCCACTTTGGCTTTGTCCATGAGTCCTTGATATATGTTCCTTGACTTGACCCTTCCCTTCCCTTTCCCCCGCCCACCCTTCCCTCCTTCCCTCTTGACTCTGTTGGTTTCTTTTTTTCTTTCAGTGTTGCTGGTCATATTTTCCTTGCTTATTTGTTTTGCTGGTTAGGTTTTATCATGTTGTCTTCCCACTTCTCTCTGGTTTGCTTTCTTCAAATTTTGTGGCTTATTTTCCCTCCCTGTTCCTAGAAAGAAAATTTTGTGTTTCCACCCCTTTTCTCTCTCCCCCTTCTGTAGCAGCACGGTGTGAGGGCAAGAGCTTGGGCTTTGAAGTTAGACCGGTTCTCAACACATATACCAATTGACTGCAGGAAGATTCCTTAACTTTCTTGAAATTAGATTTTTTTTACCTAAAAATGAGGTTAATAACAGCAACCTGGCAGGGTTGTCCTTATTTTTAATTTTGGGGAACAAAGCAATCATTGCTCTCCTTTGGTAATATGTAAAATTTAGGCCTTTGTTTTGAGATCTTGTATCTCCCCGTTTCAGGCAATTGAGCAGTGCTGGAAGAGCAGTTTTTAAAGAGAATGTTTATCTCCAGAAAGCTCTTGAATACCACCTGAAGGAAGCTGATGCTTTACAAAAGAATGCTGAGAAGTTGCTAGAGTCTCAGACTTCCCTTTTACAACAAAAGGTTTCTATTCTCATTTAGATTTTGTTTCCTATCTTTTTTTTTTTTTTTTTTTTTTAAGGATTGGGTTGCTAGATACTAAGAATTGAGTATAATAAAGATACATAAGGATAAAGGGACAATTTTTCTTGTCTGGATGATGTTCCTTTCTTATCTGAAAAGATTAATTACTGAATGACTAATAAGTATTAGACTTGGCATTATAAGGAATGTATCAGAAACATAAATGTAACTCGTATCATCCACTGCTTGAGAATACTCAGTTTGCTTTGCTTAGAGTCGGTTCCTGAATCTCTTAGGAACAGGTTCAGCTGTAACAGCCCTGATGACAGTGGCACCATCACATAAGGGTTTAATCTCTCATCTCTCACCTGAAGGAAGTGGTGCCACAAAGTCAATGGAGACTCAGGTTCCTTAATGCCGCTCTGCCACATGTGGCTTATATCCTCAAAGTCACCTCCTGGCTGCTCTAACCATTACCCAAATAGCAGGAAGAAAGAACAGGAAAGAAAAATGTATGCCCCTCCCTCCCTTTAACAGTCTTCTGGAAGTCCTACATACATCTCTACTTACATTTGATTGACCGGAACCTTCAGGGCTATGCTGAACCATAAGGGAGACAGGGAATTTTCAACTGCGCTTACTGCCTTCCTGAAAAAAAATTGTGGTTTTATCACTCAGGAGGAAAGGGAGTGTGGACATGGGGATAGGCAACTAGCGGACTGCCAGAGTTACCAGTATATAGTTGTTAAGTTAATGTTTTTACTGTATAGTCTTATTGATTTAAGAATTACCCTTTTTGTAATATAAAATATTTAACATTTCAGAATTTTAGAAGGAAATTTTCTTCATTAGCAAAAGCAGTGATCTTCACAAGCCTAGACAAGGACCCTAGGATGCTTTTCATTCTCTATGTACAAAATACCAAAATATCACCATCTCAACCTGGCATCGGACTAAAATCTCACAGAATAGTGAAAATTAGTGAGGAACTTTTAAGTTCTGAAATTGATCAAAGAAAAACATCTCTCCCCTCTGTCATCCTTCCATTTTCAGGAGATCAATGACCTGTTGGTTAAAGAAAAGATTGTGCAACTGACCCAGCAGAGATCACAAATTCAAACTCTTCAGAAGAAGGTGATAAGCTTGGAGACTGCCCTGAGTTGTATGACCAGGGAGTTTGAGACTGAAGTTCTAAAGCTGCAGCAACAGGCAAGAGTAGACAACCAAGCGGATCAGGTTGAAATTTACAAGTTGCAGCAACTTCTTCAGATGAAGGACAGGGAAATGAACAGAGTGAAGAAGTTGGCCAAGAACATACTGGACGAGAGAACAGAAGTGGAAAGGTTTTTTTTAGATGCTCTACACCAAGTGAAGCAACAGATTGCATTTAGCAGGAAGCATTATAAGCAGGTAGCACAAGCTGCTTTCAATTTAAAAATGCGAGAGGCATGTGCAGGAAGAACAGAATATCCCAAAATTCGAACATTTGATGGCAGAGAGCACAGCACCAATAGTGTGAATCAGGATCTTATGGAGGCCAATAAATGGTACGAATAATACTTTAATATTTTATCTTTTGTGCTATTTTTACAGAAATAAGAACCCTGAAAAGTTCAGTTTAATAATATCTAAATATTGAGTACATTACTTAGTAAGTTACTGGAGGACAGGAACTGACTTACTCATTTTTGTAACCCCTATGATTAGCATAGTTTGTAGGGGCTAACAAAAATTCTTAGTGATGTCCTCTTTTCTTCATAATAGAGACTTGTTACAGACTAGATTATTTGTCATGTAAAATGTCATCCTAGTATCTTTTTTTAAAAATCCTCATCTGAGGATATGTTTTATTGATTTTAGAGAAGAAGGGAGAGATAGAGGAAGAGGGAAACACTGACATGAGAGAGGAACATTGATCGGTTGCCTCCTGTACCTGCCCCAACTAGAGATCAAACCCACAACCGAGGTACACAGGAATCGACCCTCAACCTCTTGGTGTACCAAACAATGCTCCGAGTCCACTCTGCCAGGGCTGTAGTATTTTTTAACATGCTCTTTTATTTCGTTTCCCGTAAACTAGTTATCAAGGTTTGATTAGATTCGGGTTAAACATTTTTGATAAACACAGTTTCATAAATATTTTGTCATGTTTCCTTTACTATTCTAAGATGAAATTCATAGGTAATAATGTCTAACTAAACATATAATATAAAAATCAATGTAACAATTAGTCATAACAACTCTTACATAGAACAGTTCCATGGATTGGAGGACACCCAGTAGTGCTTCCTGTTATTGTATTAACCAAAAGTCTACGCAGGTTTCCAAAATACACTCTAGAGATCTACTGCCACTATGATAAAAGTAGCAGAATGCTTGAGACAGTTGAATACTATATACAGTGATGAATCGTTTCCTTAGCATTTCTATCTGTTAGAGCATATTTCCCCCTATGAACCATGTATTAAATTATGGTGCATTTTAAAGATTATTCTTAAAGTTATCTTTCATATCCCAATGAAACTAGATTCTTCAAAGGCCTTAACAAGCTTAAAAGGACTCCCAATTACTATGTACTGAACATTATATTAAGAGTGCTTCCACCCCTGGCTGGTGTGGCTCAGTTGATTGGAGGATTGTCCCATAAAACAAAGGATTAAAGGTTCAATTCCCAGCCAGAGCACATGCCTAGGTAGTGGGTTCAGTCCCTGTACACATCGGTGTTTCACTCCCTCTCTCACATCCTCCCTTACTCTCTCTCTAAAATCAATAAGCAGGTCCTTGGGTGAGGATTAAAAAAAAAAAAGAGCTTCTGCTTTACATTATTTTTCAGTGGATTAATTTGTATGTCCTTTTAAATTATATAGCTCCTGGGAAGGCTGGACGTGATTAATGGCTTCTGAAAGATGACCCTTCTTTAAAAATGTCCATATTGTGTACAATTTTTTAACCTTCTTTCCATATTCAGAAGTCTGTAATAATACCGTATTACCAAGAGAGCCACTGTAATTTCCTCTTATTTATTTAACATCAAGTTGAGTCCCTTCAAACATAAGACAATTTCTTTTACATTTTTTTGCCTATTATATCTTAAGTGGTATATAAGTTTTCAGAGAAAGGTACATAAACTGATTCTCCACATTGTTATTGCAGAAACTGGACTTTTCCTATTTTGCCTTCTGTGTGACATTTTTGCTACTGAGCAACTTGTCACCTTAACCTCAGTTTCCTATTGCCTCTACCAGCAGGGCAGAAATGATGTTTAAAATATTACTTATCTGCTTAAGAGGCAGATTGGGGGACAGTGGAAATATATGGTGATAAGGTAAACCTTAATTTTTAAATAAAACTAACACGAGTGACCTATGTGCAAAACATTTCTTACGTTATACAACATCAATACTCTCTATGTCAGCCAGCCTTTGTAAATAGCAATTAGACTATTAATTTTCTGGGAAAATTATAGTATAGATAAAGACCTGCCTGGAATGTTTAGCAGCAGGCTGATTTGGAGGTAAGAAAATAGACTAGTTAAGTTACATGTTGTTATCTAAATTTACCTTTTGTCACTCTATCTTCATAGCAAAATATCTAATACAAAAAGGAATGTTAAAAGGAATTTATGAATAATCTCACCCAATGTTTTTTTCTTGTTTCTTTTGTCTTTGTGTATATCCAGGTATGTTATATCATATTACAACTTTCTATTTTATTTGCTTGATGTCTGAACATGCATTTTTTCACATTAATTTTTGTTTTCATTTTAATGACTATATAACATTTCAGGTGGGCTAGCATATTGATATTCTTTTCAACTTAATGCCTTTGTAATGGACACAGTTTGTTTTGTAGCCATTACATTTGGAAACCTCTTAATACTCAGTTATGGTTTGGAATTTTTCTTTTTCCATATTTACATATTTTATATTTTTAAAAAAGAAGAGTTGCTTACTTTGATCATATTTTTCCCTTTCACTTTTTTTTTCTTTGAAATTCTTCAGGACAGATATTCAAGGAAATGTGGATATTGAAGATCTGACTTGGGAGCAGAAGGAGAAAGTCCTACGATTGCTCTTTGCAAAAATGAATGGTTTTGTTCCTAGGTAATTCCCTATTTCTGTAATGAAATATCAAGTTATTATCAACGCTAGAATTGGGACAATGAACTTATTTACACTTAGAATTAAAGGATTAGAAAAAAAACAAAATATAAAAGGGTCATACTGCTTTGCTATGCAACTGAGATAAATAAATGAGCATGAAAATGAAAGATGAATTAAAGGGGGTAGAAAAGAGATTAATTTTCGGTATTTAAGGTAATGCTTCTTAAGAAGGTACAACACTGCTCAGCTGAATGAGTGGTAACTGAAGAGAAGCATAACTGTTAAGATTTTATTAGTCTGCAAAGATAAGTAAATGGTTTTTAAGCTGATTATTAATATAGAGTATTTCTAATACCAAAAAAAAGACCTAGAAAGAAAAACAAAAATCCAGAAATATTTAAAATAATTCTTAATGAATTATTTCACCCTCTCCACTATGTTTTATCAGTAACTATAACCCTGGTAATGAACTAGAAGGTCGGTAAAATAAATCAGCCACTTACTGATTGCTCATCATATACTTGGCCTTATGTTAGGTACTCTGGAGATTCAAAAGAATTAATATCCCGCAGCTGGTGTGGCTCAATGGATTGAGTGCCAACCTGTGAACCGAAAGGTCGCCAGTTCGATTCCCAGTCAGGGTATATGCCTGGGTTGTGAGCCAGGGGACCTACAACAGGCACCCCATCAATGTACCCCTCCCTCACACATCGATGCTTCTCTCTCTCTTTCTTCCCCTCTCTCTAAAAATAAACAAAAATTAAAAAAAATAATTATGAGACATTGCCCCAGAGTTTATAATCTGGCTGCACAAACAAAACTAAACATAGCAAGGAAAGAAAAAAAGGTGGCACAATAAAGTATAATTGAAACCCTGGCTGGTGTGTGGCTCAGTGGGTTGAGCACCAGCCTGCAAGCCAAAAGATCACTAGTTTGATTCCCACCCAGGGCATGCCCGGGTTGAGGGCCCTGTCCCAAGTTGGGGGCAATCGAAAGGTAACTGATTGATGTTTCTCTCTCCCTCACTTTATTCCTCCCTTCTCCTATCTCTGAAAATAAAATCTTTAAAAGAATAAAGTGTAATTGGAGTTCAGACAAGGGCTAGTCAGGGAAGACTTCAATCAGGAAGACAGATAGAGTATGACTCTGTGGGGTGCCTCGTAGGGACGTGGGACAGTAGCGAGATAGAGGAGGGTACCTCAGGCAAAGGGTACAGTAGACAGCATAAGCAAAAGCCTGGAGATAGGAATGGGTATTGGATATTTAGAGAACATTGAGGAAAAATTGCCTAGCTGGAGGAAATTTGATAATGCTGGAGAGTAACTAGTAATTAGAAATAAGGATTAAGCTGTAGATTAAATTATGATGAGCCTTAAAAACCATGCAGAAAAGCCTGAACGTATGCTATTGAGATTCTAGATACTCTATTTTTCTTCTCTGCCTTGAAGGAACACAAAGAGCAGTAAGCCATCCTCTCATACTCTGACTAGAAGTGCTTACAGGTTTTTGTTCTCAGAGCCATCCTGAACCTAATAGTGACAAGTATACTGGGTTGGAGAACAAAAAGAGGGGTAGGGGACCAGTGAAACCTGCTTCCCTACTCATGTGGTGATGAGGGGTCTAGGCAAGAGTGGGAGCAGTCAGGAAAAAGGGGAAAACAGACAGGAAGGAGAAACAGAGCTGGGTGATAAAGGACCAAAGGAATAAAGACAAGTGTAAATTTGTTTTTAGCTTAAGAACTAAAAGAATGGTGGTATGAAAGCCAAATGAAAAAAAGCCTGGAAAGCCAGTGTGAGGGAAATGTTTAAATTTTATTTAATCCATCCATCAAGTCATTTAACATATACATATTGAGTGCCTGCTATTTACTGAGCTTATCATGTTGAGTAAATAAAGATATCATGCCTAACATCAGGGAGTTCATAATTTACGTGAGAAGAAAACCATTAGTCAAACTGTCACACAAATATATACAAAGTACGATTATGACATAGGCTCAAAGGAGTTGTATGAGAGCCTAGATCAGGGGAATCTGACCTGAGGATGCCAGAAACATTTTTTAGGAAATAAAAGCTTGAGCTGACTGCTAAAAGCTAAATATAAACAAAAAGGGGGGAAAAACACATTCGAGGCAGAAGAAACAGAAAGGTGTATTTTCATTGTCAAGTTGGAGATGATGGCAATACACTGAAGTGAAAAATACTTAAGGCATTTGTAAATGGTGATTGGAGTACAGATGATACTGTACTGTAGTTTAGGGAGGGAGATTTGAGCATGTTTAATGAAAATTGGTAATTGAGTTCAGGAAAGTGGATGAAGGTAGGAAAGTAAATGGCTGAACCTTTAGGAATAGCCACAATTAATGAACAGGAGAACAGAGAAAAATACAACCCAAAGAGGAGTTTAAAGTATAGGATAAATAGAAGATGGAAGACTTTGAAATGGCTTTTGTGTCTCTGGGAGCCTTCCAAAGAAGCAAAGGTACAATCCAGACTGTAGATACTGAATGGCTATCTCATTGTAAGTTGATTTTTCTGTACCCAAGGGGATAGAGACAGAGTTCTGGGCCTCAAAGTCCATACTGTATTGTTTTCACACAGGAGAAAGAGGAATTTGAAAGAAATCTTTCACACCAAAGTAATGAATTTGCACCTGGCCACAATGGAGCCATGTCAAAGCATGTTGGACTCTCATGCCAGCATTGAATGAAGGAAAAAGAATATAGGAATAAAATGGTGAAATGTTGTGATAAAAATTAGATTAAATGAGAGTGCTCAGATTGGGAAGGGATTAAATAATAAAAGGCCTACCAAGGCAAGTAATTAGGAAACTGATAAGAGCTCACAGTAGATTGTATGATTGTGAATCAATACAGTACAGTATTTTTCTTTGTGAGCGAACTAAGTCAAAGGAGGGTAGTCAATAAACTGTACCCTTAATGCATCAGCAACTTTGGCACTAGAAGTAGCTAAAGTACATTATTAGACTATTTAAGATAGCCAGATTTTGAATGTTTTTTTAAATTTTATTTTAGAGAGAAAAACATCAATCTTCTGCTCCACTTATTTATGCATTCATTGGTTCCTTCTTGTATGTACTCTGACTGGGACTCAAACCCAAAATCTTGCTGCATGGGGACAGTGAGCTAACCAACTGGGCTACCCAGCCAGGGGCAGGATAGCCAGGTTTTGAATGGGTTTATGCCGCTTTCATGGGCACCTAGGTGAGGGCATGTTTTAGGAATGGGATATGTGTCTCCACCTGCTGGCAAATCAATCTACTATACTTCATAAATTTTAATCTTCACCTGAGGACATTTTTTAAAATTGATTTCAGAGAGAGAGGAAGAGAGAGAGAGAAACATCAATCGGTTGCCTTCCCTACACGCCCTGACTGGGGATAGAAACTGCAACCTTTTTCGTGTATGAGATGACACTCCAACCAAGCTCACTTTCAAATTAAAATATTGGATTAGCCCAGATTGGCGTGGCTCAGTTGGTTGGGTTTTGTCCTGCACAAAGTGAAAGGTCACTGGTTGGATTCTTCGTCTGGTTCCCAGTCAGGGCACATGCCTGGGTTGCAGATTGTCCCTGGTCGGGGCGCATGTGAGAGATAACCAATGAATGTTTCTGTCACACGGATGTTTCTCTCCCTCTTTCTCCATCCCCTCCCATCTCTCTAAAAATAATTTCAAAAAATATTGAAGTAGTGATGTTTATTTCCTGTTCTTAAACCAGACTTTCCAAAGTATAGGAGAAATTTTTATACTGTCTCTCTCCAGTAGATAACCTGTGTTCTGTGGTTCTTTTTGTGGGAAGGGAATTTTTCTGGCCATGTTTTTTTGGGGGGCAAGGATGTCAGTACTTTGGTTTAACCTTGCTCATCACCATTAATGGCTTTTATGTATCATCATCATGATCATCTCCAGAAATATTTCCATTTCTTAAGTTCGACATAACTCAACTTTAAGAGAATGTTTGTATTAACTTGCCTTAACATTATACTGCTTCTGTGTATATGTAAAAGATCATTTTTCAAAGTGAGGAGTCCATCCGATGGAAGTATTCATTTAGCACTTTTAGAGAATAGCTGAAATAAAGGTACAAGGAGACACTGCCTCATTGTTAACTTTTACCCCCCACAGGAAATACAGTCAGAGTTCTAGGCCTCCAGTTCCAGACTATGTTGTTCTAGACAATGGAGAAACAAAGGAATTTGGGTAAGGTCTCTCTTTAAAAAGCAATGAATGTGAGTTTGATCACAATGGTTCTTATGGACATCTTATATGTGCAAGAATTGAGTGAGAGTAACATGACAAGTCTATTGTTCTGAACCATGGTTGTTGACAGGTCCCTTACTTTGTCATTATTGCAGGGATGAGAGTAAGCTTCAGGATCAAACCTTCATCACCCAACAAGTACCAGTCTCAGACTCTTCTGGTGAACTGGTGATACCCAATATTCAGAAAGGATCACAAGAATCTGACATGGTAAGGAGTCTGTAATCTAACCAAACAATACATATAACTCTTACCTTTCCCCATGCAGCTTCTTGCTAAGTCACAGTTCTTTAGTTCTACTAACCAGGAGCTCTCAGGGATCAGTGAAATGAGTAATAATACTAGTATGAGATCGTGGACCTTTTAATAATAATAATATTATCCACACTAAAGAAGATATATACTTAATGCAAACACATTTTTGCCTTAATGTGGAAAAACCTATATACTGCCTTTTGAAATACACAGCCTAGCCAAAATATGTACTATCTTTTATGTAAGAATTAAAGCAAAATGACAGTGTAACTCTTGGCTTTGGGCAGACATGGGAAGTCTGAGTCACTACAAGCTAGGGGACAAAGGCATTATAAGGAAGTATGTCACCATTTTTTTTCAAAAGCCAGATACTCTTTTTAAGAACTTTTTATTTGTAACTTGTTATTCATAATCAGTACAATGTAGAATCAGAAAAATTTCAAATGAGGCCACATTGAGCGAAAAGAAAGCAAAATACTGATTTTTTTAAAGCTGCTACTAGCATAAACATAACTGTATAGATTTTTTTTCCACCTAAGAAACAAGAAACTTCTGAGTAGCAAGTAGCTAGCCAAATGAACTGAGTCCAATTAGAGCAACATGATTCTGATTAGTTAGTATTTTTTTAAAAAAGTGATTTCCCTTAAATGTAAGGAAAATTTAGGAGTTTCTGTGACTTAATGCCACTTGGAATTCAGAAAATATGATCTTTTATTCAACCCAGACTGTAGTTGTTGGATTGGATTAAATATTACTACTAGTTGCCAGCAGTGATAAGAGATAAAATAAGGGGCATTCCATAAATTCCTACTGCCTCGCCTTTAGGAAGGCAAATCTAAAACAAAACAAAACAAAACAGGAAGACCCAGTAGGGTCATAAATGTATTTTATTAAAGTTCTAGTCACCTTAAGTCAGTGATTTTCAGCTGGTGTGCTACAAGAATCTTTAAAACATCCGATACCTGACTATTTAGGAGCACTGACTGAACTCTTTTCCCTTAGACTATCAAATAAAAGAGTGACAACAGACAATACAATAGCCATCTGGTATGAGTACCCTGTCTTAAACCATTAATATTTAAGTCATATAGTAGAGTTGCATTTTATTGGTCACAGTGCATAATAAGGTGGTGTCTGATTGGTTAATTCTTGGTACCAGAAATCCTTATATACAAGTATAGGCACCTGACTTGTTAAAAAATAAAGTCACTTTGGAGCAAAAAAAGGCGACATAATTACTATTATTAATATTTTTTTGTAAATCAAGTAAAATTATACCTATTCTTTGTCAGATGAGTAACAAATATATTTTTGGCATGCTGTAAAATTTTAATATTTAGTTTATGTGTGGCATGAGATGAAAAAGGTTGAAAATCACTGCATTAATTGAAGATTTTTACATTCTATCCAGTAGGTGGTAGTAATAAGCCTAAAATACAAACAGTGCACAAACATTTTCAAGGTTTTCCCTATCCTTAACTCACCAAGTAACTCCCATGGAGTAGAGGTTAGCATTATCCACATGACTAGCAGAGAAGCAGGAAAATAAATGACCTATGTCATCTGGCTGAAGACCAGAGATTACTTATTCTCTCAGAACCAGAAGCTTTCTCCTAGTTCACTGGAAGAGAACTGTATCAGAAAGACAAGGTTCAATTGGGATGTACAGCAAAAAGAAACTATTCTGTTGAGCACATCAATATCTTATTCAACTTGAAGTTTAGCTACATCAAAACAAAGAGCATAAAGATAGTTGAATAACGGTAGCAAGAGAATCTGTCAAAACATTTCTTTACCACTTTAAGTCATGAAAAGCTTTAAAATTTCTTAGACCCTAGTCAGTTATTCTACATTAAGTGTTCCTTTACTAAAAAGTTATCATTCATGAGAAATGCAGGCAAGAGGAAAAAGCAACATAAAACATTCGGCAAGGACTATCAGGTTAGATTTGCTTAAGGCAAACACCCCTTAATTTCTGGGCCTAAAATAACTTTTGAAATGATTTTCTTAAAAAAAAAAAAAAAAAGAAGAAAACCTATTGGCATCTGAGTTAATGGATGAAGCATTAGTTAATAAGCAAACCCTGAAATTTAACACTTGGCACACACAACGAAAAGTCGATTTATCCAATGCATACTGAGGTATCCTTGAGAAATGATCTTAAAAAGCAGGAACAGGGACAATGACAGAATTTAGTGGTCATGAATCACTAGGACAAAGTGGCATTCAGCAAAAAGAAGCAGTTGTCACAACTGTGGGATAAGTACAAACGGACTGTATCTTGGGTAGTGTAGGATGAGAGGCTCACAGGAGTTTCCCCCACTGGCACAGGGCTGTGTTTGAGGGCCAACCAAAGGGTGAATTATTTCTATCCTACTTCCCCCTCCAAGAGGTCCTCTTCCACTTATGGAAGATCTTCTTTACAAACACTAATCTTCCTGTCAAGTCATCACAAAAGAGGAGAATTTTTAGAAACCAGGTCTAAGCTCTCATTCCAGATAAGCATTTCACAGTTAACAACAGTTACCTAAGAAAGAGAAGTATGAAGAGTAAGTGAAAACATGGTTTCTGAGTTATGCCAGGAGTCTCCCTATAGCAACTTTGCAGGGGCTAATGGTCCTGAGAAAGATTTTAGTTACAAGGTATTCCATTCCCAGGATTCTGATCTGAGCAAAGTTGGAAAATGAAGGCGGTCAAGAATAACAGATTCCTAAGGATGGACTGAGTCTGGACAAACTCATTTCTAACGGCCCATGGTAGGCATGACTACAGCAGGTGAAGAAAGAGTAGCATCTTCTTCTTTCCACTGAGAAGTAACGGTCTTTAGCTGAGTGTAGAAGTAGACGCCCTAAAGGGAACAAAGGAAAAAACAGAGAGAGAGTTGGCATATATTTTTGGGGGGGTTTCACAAGTCCTCTTTTAATCAACTTTTGAAGGAGGTGCTGTGAAGTACTGCTCACTCTCCTATTTGAGGAATAGGTGCAACTAATTCATGTAAATTTATCTAAAACATTTAGCCTAATACCTGGCACATAGTAAACAGTCAAACCTTAGTTATCATTATGTTGAAACTAGTCAAGAGCATTAGCATCTAAATGGAAAAATTAAACAATGTAATTTGTTAAACTTGTAGGTCATTCTGTCCCTAGAGCTGAGTATCATGTGCTCGGAGGTCTTGAGACATGGCTCAAATCCTGTCTCTACTCCTTATTGACTACTGTTTAACCTTGGGCCTTACCTGTGACGTAATGCCTACCTCACAGCAATGTGTGAGGAGAAAATGAAATGACATACAAATCTCTCCTTTCCATGAAGGAATGAAATATATATTAAGGCCATTTCTGACAACTGTCAGTGATAAACAGCTACACTGAAGTAGTAAAATCCACAATATCTTACAAATCTAAAATAAAATGTCTGATAGACACATTCACTTCTAAATCACCTATAACATGTAAGCCAAAAAAGTTCTGCATATTTAAGTCTTCATATATCGTTTATTTTGTAAGAATAGGCTTGAGTAAAAGAGATTTGACTGTACAGATCTAACAACAAATTACTAGAAAGCTAGAAAGATATTGTTAGGAAAAAACACACTAGTTTGATTAAAATACTCTTCTATACCCTGGCTGGTGTGGCTCAGTGGGTTGAGCACCAGATTGTGAAGCAATGGGTGGCTGGTTCGATTCCCACTCAGGGCACATGCCTGGTTGTGGGCCAGGTCCCTGGTGGGGGGGGGGGGGGGGGCGCATGAAAGGCAACCACACATTGATGCTTCTCTCCCTCTCTCTCTTCCTTCCCCTCTTTTTAAAAATAAATAAATAAAATCTTTAAAAAAAATACTCTTCTAGAATTACTTGACAAAATCTGGGCCATGTTAATATATTAAAGATAACTAAAAATTGTTACGTATCTTCATTGTAAGATACAACTAAAGTTTACATTTTATCACATAACAATGATACTTTCATGTCTTCCAGAATGCAAATTAGCAACTTAATTACCGGAGGTTTTAAGACTTCAAACTCTATATGAGGTCAGACTTTTCCTCCAAGAAGCCTCATTTACAGAGTAACTTATAAAGAAATTTTTGTTAATAGTATCAAACTAGTTTTACAAAAGCTGTCTTTTGTCACAAACTGTATCATTAGCCTCCAAATAACCAAAGATTTTTCTTAACCAGTTGGCCACACTGTCATATTCTGCTATGCAATCCCACTGTTAATTTTTTATTAACCTATAAAAGGGAGACTTGTTTAGGAAAAAAATGTAATTTATTACTGAAGATTTAAAAATGGATCTATTTCTGTAGGACTACAAATAACTTCCACTAGCCCATTTGTTCAACATATGTTTGGGCACCTGCTGTGCCAGGTGCTGCAGAGAAGTAAATAATTAAAGTGTGACGAAGGCTTTTTAGAAGACATGGCTTAAAGATTCCTACATGACTTGTCCCTGCCTAGCTTTCTAGCTTCATCTCTTACCACTCACTCTTACTCATTCACTCCCTTTGCTCCAGCCCACCCCCACTGTTTGCACATGTCATGTCTGTTCCTGCTTTAGGACAATTGCACCTGCTGAAGGATGTGGTAATAGGGGTAATCTAATCTTCATAACCTCATGAAATATAGATATTGCTATTATTCTCATTTTACTGATGAAGAAACCTGAGGCACAGAGTTAATAACTGGCTGAGTTGGGGTTTGAACCCAGGCCATTTGGTTTCAAATCTGCTATATTTTTCTTGTTCAGTGATATATTTGTAGGGCCTAGAACAGTGTTTGGTACAAAGAAGGTGCTAAATAGAAGTTTCTGTAAGTGAATAACTATTACAGGAGAGGCACGTGCAAGTGGGAATACATGAGGGCATACCCAGCGGAGCACTAAGGGGGCTGGTGGTGGTCAGAAGTGATTTTCTGGAGAAGTCCATTCTTTAAATGGAGACATGACAGATGACTAAGAGTCAGATGAAAATGGGGAGGCAGAAAGGGGGTCCAAGGCAGAGGAAAGGGCATATATAAAAGTTTAGACCTCCTCATTCTCATTCTCTAAAACTCTGTTCCCTTGAGCTATTCAGCGAGAAGGAGCTTTGGCAAAATTGTATTAACTTTTAAATCTTTTCTAGGGGACCTACTGACAAGCACTGCTGAACAATATATGACCCCACAGAGGCTGCTGGCAGGCTTTCCCTTGCAGAATCCTTGTTCCTGAATATGTTAAAGAAAGTTTATTAGAGGAAAAGACATTTTTAAAAACTTGGTTACCTGTTTGCCATAGAAATTGGTATCTCCCCTGAAGGAAGATCGAGAGCCAGTGAATGAGAACATTGGTAAAGGCACTGGAATGGGGACATTCACACCCACCTAAAGCAGAACGAATCCACGTCAGATACTAAGAAACAAACTCAAACAAAGGAACTCTCCATTTAGAAGCATAAATGTTAGGCCTTAGAAAGACTAATTTTAAATATCCACCTTCCACCCTATTTCCATCTCATGAACTTTTATTCCTGAGGAAGAAAGGGAGCATCGTGAGAGATCAAAAAGGCACAACTAATTGCTGTTTACCATCTCCCCAGAAAACAGTAAATAGCTGCAGGAACCTCCTAAAAGTCCTGTTCACAAACCTGTCCGACATCCACCAAGTGGGAATATTTCCGAGCAGTGGCTCCATTGGTGGTGAAGATGGCAGTTCCATTTCCATAGGGATTATCATTTACAATCTTGATGGCTTCATCCAAAGTGTCTGTCTCCAGAACCACAAGAACTGGACCAAAAATCTCCTCTTTGTAACAGGTCATGTTTGGCTGCCAGGAGTGATGCATCCGGAAAAGAAGTCAGTATTTTATGCTTATTTGGTACTTTAGTACCCACTGTTTACGTGGACAGCTTTCATGTTAATAATCTCTTTTCATTTTAAACCACCTATTTTTTTAAAGTGCCTTCTTGCTGTATTCCATCTTCCAAGCTACCAATCATTTAAATAACTTGAAATTCCTATTAAGTACAATTACACTCCTTTCTTTTAAGCACTTTTATTTTTAGGTCCCATGACTCATAACTAGCTTTCATACTTGTATAACCTGTTTATACAATTACTGTATTACTGAAAGCTTACGTGAAAATTCATTTTTTTTAATAAATCAAATATATATTTAAAACACCACAGGGTAATTTTTCTGTTTAAATAAACCCTGTGCTAAGTTTTCTGTAACATTAAATCTATTCTCATTCACTCCTTTGCATTCACTCCCAAATGAGTCTATACATTTATATCTTGATATCAGGTCACATTAAACATTCAAAACATCCTTTACCACTGCAGATAGTGAGCTGTATTTATTGCTTGTATATGGATTTTTCCTCTATGATTCTTTGGCAAGATATTTCATAATTTCTACTATACTTACATTCAACTCAATTATTCAGGATTATAATAGGATTAGTGGGGACATATGTATTTTTAAAAAAAGCCTCTGAACTTCAACTTTGTCATTAATATTAGCTAAGAGACTTGTAGAGTTTTGATAAATAAAAATATTATTTCATAAATAAAAATTCTTTTTTCTTTTGTCACTTTCTGGTGAAAATGCAGTTAAATTTAGGACACAGTAAGTACCCGTATACTGGCTGGCTGATATGTTGATGGAGACACTGCAATAGCTATAAGCTAGGCAGCAAGAATTAATGGGAAGAAAAAATTAACATAAAACAAATTAGTAACAAGTATAATGCAAGATAGGGGTTGGCAAGATATGGCCATTGAGCCAAATGTGTCTTGCTGCCTGTTTTTGTACAGCCAACAAGCTAAGAATAATTTCTATATTTTTTAAATGGCCTGAAAAATATAGTCATGACATGTAAAATTATTTGAAATTAAAACTTCATTATCCGTAAATAAAGTTTTATTAGAACACAGCTATACAATGTTAATGGTTGCTTTCACACTAGAATGTCAAGAGTTGAGCAGTTTTAATAGAATGTATATCTCTGCAAAGCCAAAAATATTTACTATCTAGTCCTTTATGGAAAGTTTGCAGACTGCTAGTAGAGTGAAAGAGATTAGGAGTGAGAGGATGTTTATTCAGACTCTAGATAAAATAACAGTAATTCTGGCAAGAGATGAGGTCTCTAGTCACTAAATGTTCCTCATTTACAAATTGGAGGGATGAAATTCCATAGGCTCTATTGTGCTTTCCACTCCTGTATTTGGGAAATAAATAATCCAGAGTTGTTTACCTTGACATTTGAGATGATAGTTGGTCCAACAAAGTTGCCATTTTCATAGCCTTTGACTTTAATGTTTCGCCCATCAAGAAGGATGGAGGCTCCCTCTTTCGTTCCACTATCAATCAGATTACAGACTCGCTCTTTGGCCTGGGGGGTTATCAGAGGGCCAAGATCTGCTCCAGGCTGGTCTCCTGTAAAACAACACAGAAGTGTCTAAGGTCTTCAATAACATAAATTATGACTGCCAACTAAAGATGAATCTGAACAAGTGCAGTATACAGGGAAGCAATGGCAAGCACTGATAACGATTGCTCCCGTTGGCAAAGACCAAAGTTAAACCAAGAGCTTGGTGCCACAGACACAAAGCATAAAGAGGCTGGCAGATAACTGACTACCTGCATTGACTCTCAAGTTTTTGGCACGCTCCACCAGCTCTGGCAGCCACTTCTTAGCTTCTCCCACAAGGATGGCTGTTGAAAGAGCCATGCAGCGCTGACCAGCAGCTCCAAATGCTGCCCCAACCAGCTGGTTCAGGGTGTTTTCCTTATTGGCATCTGGCATGACTACCCCATGGTTCTTGGCTCCCTAGGAAATACAGAAAGTACGTGAATCTTCCTTGGCAAAACACAATTAGGCTAAGAAATTTGGTAAGGAATCTGAGATTTCAGATGAAAATTTAAGGTAAGGACTAGAAAATTTAGCCTTTATTGCTTTTTAAGGATAGATTTATTATTTTGATACTGCTTAAGTCTTGGTAACATTGAATAAGTCTCCAGGTTACCTGACATATGTTTATTTAGATCAAAACAAACAAAAACACAAGAGCCCCAATCATCGCATTAAGTCAAAATGATAGGCTAAACCTTGCATCCAGGAACCAATGAGAAATTCCTTCTCTTTCCTAAGTTAGATAGGAAAGAATTTGTTGTCTGCTGGGGTTTCCAGTTACGTGAAGAGCAGTATAAACAAAGAGCTGCCAGTAACAATGCCAACAGCCAGCTGAAAAGCAAAACAGGAGGTAGACCTCTCCTGATAATTTCTGGAAAGAGGTTCCCCAGACTGTCTTGCTTCTGATACATATGGTCATTTCCACACCCATGTTTTCAGATACAACTATAATGGAGTGCATGGATAAATACCATGTCGGCTACTTAATTTTATGTAATTACAAATAGTATACTGTTAGAATTCACTCAATAAATTAATAGTGAACTGGGACTTAAGTCAAACTGGCCAAAACACGTTCAGTCGTGAAAAGAAATAACTGGGCATATCATGATGTTTCCCAGCCTGTGCATAGGTGGCTATCCTTTATGCAACCTTAGTCAAAGAGTCAGAAAGTAGTAATTGGACTGTGCACAGAGAACCAAAGAACTGTCAAATACTTGACAAGAAGCTAGTAAAAGAACAGCAAAACTATGCAACCAAGTGAACCACACATTGTATATAGGGATATTGGGCTCTTTCCAGTGCTTTAAATAGTCTGAACTTTTAGGGAAGAAGGTATTTTGACCTTACTAATTAGGATACACCTTAAAAGAAGAAAAAGGATAAAGGGCTAGAGGGAAGAAACAGGGCCAGAACGAGAGAATTCACCTGTTGCTACTAAAGCCTTAAGAATTAGAATGACATTCTTAGGGAAAAATGTGTCCTTTGGCACCAAAATTTGTTGTGTAGGATAAAAGATAATTAAAGTAACTTAGAATATAATTCATCACAAAGTTCACTGTTGAAGGAAAGTTACTCAGGGTGAAATGGGAATAAAGAAACACTGGCATTAAAGTTTCAGCTCCTTTGCTGAAGAGCAATTTCTATGTAATTTTAATACACAGAGTTTGAGGGAAGAAAAAGAGTAAGTAGTCACCATATTGGCTTGAACTCTCTTGCCATGTCTTGACCCTCTCTCAAAGATGTACTCTCCTGCCTGGTTGGATCCCACAAAGCTGATTGCTCTGATATCCGGATGGTCACAAATAAAGTTTACAGCTTAAAGAAGAAAATAAATGATTACCATAAAGGATCAAATGGCTATAGGTTTCTCAACATCACACATTTCTTTTCCCACTGCTATGAAAGAGAAGTTTTCATAGTTCTGCATTTCTATGCTGGGTTCCCATTTTGAAGTTCTCTCTTTCATTGTCCTTTTAATTCTTTAATCTACAAATTCTATTTAGCTTCTTTCTTTTATTTTTCTTATTTGCTATTACACAACTTCCACAATCTACTCTGAAAGCTACAACTCCTATTTTCCTCCAAAATAACAGCTCATCAGAATATTTGAAATCTTGTGTTCCAGTAAGTGTCCTCAGTTTGGCTCACATAAACTCTTATAAAATTCTCCAAAATAACAGCCCTTCAATACTCAGTATTTTGTCCTTTAAGGATGTGATATTTCTTCGACTGTTACTATATACCAGGCTTCTGAGACACTATTGCACCTCCACGAAAGACAATATAGCACAGTACAGTCATGTGCTGCTTAACGACGGCGATATATTCTGAGAAATTCATCATCAGCTGATTTTGTCATTGTGCAAACATCACAGAGTGTACTACACAAACCTAGTTGGTACAGCCTACTACACACCTAGACTAGACAGTATAGCCTATTATTCATAGGCTACAAGCTAGTACAGCATGCTTCTGTACAAAACAATATGAGATTAAATTAAACACAAGAAAAAATGATGCAATCAAGAGACACAGTAAACTCGAGTCTGCCACTGGCATAACACACTATTTTAGAGTAAACTTTTAAAAAAAGATTTTAATTATTTATTTTTAGAGGGAGAGGAAGGAAAGGACAAAAAGAGGAAGAGCAACAGAGAGATACATTGGTTGGTTGCCTCTTGCAAGACCCCAGCTGGGGACCTGGCCTGCAACCCAGTCATGTGCCCTGATGGGGAATCAAACCGGTGACCTTTTGATTCACAGGTTGGCACTCAATCCACTTGAGCCACAACCAGACAGGGATCTTTTTTAACTAGAAAGAGTACACTCTAAAATACCAAAACGTGTCACATACTAAATACATAAACCAGTTATGTAGTTATTTATTGTCATTATCAAGTATCATGTATTGTACATAATTGTATATGCTGTAGTTTTCTACAAGCGGCAGTGCAGTAGGTTTGTTTACATCAGCATCACCACAAACACATGAGTAATGTATTGTGCTATAATGGTACAACTGCTATAATGTCACTAGGTGATAGGAATTTTTCAACTTCATTATAATCTTTGGGACCACTGTCATACATGTGGTCTACTGTTGATGAAAAGGTCGTTACGCGGCACATGACTGTGTTTAAAAGTGAAAACCAAGGTCAGCCTTCCAGAGTATGTACATTGTAGTTTTGATAGTTTCTAGCAGCAGCAACTTACTTAATTTCATTATGCCTCAATTTTCTTATACGTAAAATGGAGAAATAATCGTACCTATCTCAAAGCACTCTTATAAAGGTTAAATGAGACAATATATGTAAGGTACTAGGAACAGGGTCTGAAACACAGAAGCAGTTTTTAAGTAATAGCTATTATATACATTGGAAAGCCTTCATTCTCCCTGAGGTCTATAGATTTTGTGAGTTGAATAGCCTCACAAATTTTCTCAACATTAAAGTGAAAACTTTTTCTTTATCTGACCTGTGTCTTGCCCTAATCCATATTTCTTTGTCCCAATGTATTTTGTAGGGCAAGAAAAACTACTACTCCACAGTTAGATACCTTAGTACACAGATGGCAAAACAATCAACAAACATTACCTTCAAACATGGAGGTTACTACTAGTAAATCCGTTCATTCCTGGGTTCTTCATTCTAGAACACCCCATTACCACTCAACACCTCGATTTTTTTGGTAGTCAGATTAAGTGCCAGGTACTGAAGAGCAGTTACCTTCATGTTGTCCATGGATGATGTTCAGTGTTCCATCAGGGGCACCAGAGTCCTGGAGCAATTTAGCAAGAAGCATAGTTGCTCCAGGGACTCGCTCTGATGGTTTCATTAGGAAGGTATTTCCACATACCATGGCCATGGGAAACATCCAAAGGGGGATCATAGCAGGAAAATTGAATGGAGCAATGCCTGCACACACCCCCAGAGGCAGACGGTAGGAATAAAGGTCCATGTCTTTGGTGATGGATGGCATGGTCTCTCCCAGCATGAGGGATGTCACACTACAGGCATGCTCAACCACCTCTGCAACAGAGAAGAAGCAGTCAGGCCACCAGCTGCCCAAACTGTATACTGCTTAGCTTTATCATCCTCTGGTATGCCCTGAGGCCAGGAAGTGGCTCAGGCCAGTGTCAGAGGGAAGAAACACTGACTTGACCTTCCATGTGAAGGCGTTGTTCAAAATAAGATTCTGTAAGTGGGGAAAAAAAAACAATGAAATGTACATACTTACTGGAAGATCAGTAAAGTAAAACAAAGAATGAAGTAAACCAATTTCATAGGTCCCTGAGAAGTACTGCCATTTTCCACAAGTATTAAAAAAGATATCATAGGATAACAAAATCTACATAAAGGAAAAAAGCAATCCCTCATTACGGGATCTTTGCCTCCCATTTTCCTTTGCTTCTTTCCCAAAGGTCCCTGAAACTCCCCATGAGAGACTCCCAGCTTACGAAGGCCTCGAAATACATCTCCTTCAGCATCTGCTAGGGTCTTCCCTTGTTCCAGCGTGATTAACCTGGCAATTTCTTTCTAGAGAGAAAACACACAGATAGAAACCAATGCAAGGATGTGCCTCCTTTTAGTTCTCAGCCAAGGAAGGACAAGACTGGGCAAGCAGTAGCATGAGGAAGAGAGCCATCCAGGATCTGCGTCTCTCTGGATTATACAGAGGGAGTGTGCAGCTAAAAGGGCCCCTGTGGGTATGACAAGTCTCCTCTAGATAAGTTTGGAAAATAGTATCATTCAGATTTCTTACCAAGTTTTCTTTAATAAGTTGTTGATAGCGAAGCAGGACCTGCTGACGGCTTAATACTGAAGTGTCTGCCCAAGCGGGAAAAGCACGCTTGCAGGAAGCAACGGCTGCATCCATTTCAGCCTTGGTGGCCTGAGGGACCCGACCAATGACCTCATTGGTGGCCTGATGGGAAAAAGCAGCACATCATCCTTTGCTGCTGCCCAACCTTCTCCATTTTTCTTCTAGTCACAAAGGCAACACTACATGCTTCACAACAGACACCCAAGTCTCCTCTTTCCCACCATGTTTCCAGAATTCTAGGCTCGTCATTTTAAGCAGTTTTGCTTACTGGGTTGTGGATGTCGATCCATTTGTCACTTTTGGATTCAACAAATTTCCCATCAATGAAGAGCTTTACAGTTGGCTGGGGGGTGGGGGGAGGAAACACAGAAAATTTTCTATTAGTTAATTGCTTCATTTCTGTTTCTTACTTTCACAATGAGGAAGGAATTCCGGTTGATAATGAAGGTACTGCTCTCTAGAGACGTTGCCACTCAGAAAGTGATATACAATATACTTGTTTACAGTGTGTGTTAAGATGTGACAGAGCCTCTCAATACTGTGATCTCTTTGAAAATACGAAATTCCCAACTAATCACAGAGTGGAACCTCATGAGTAAACACATGTCACTGTAAAGCTTAAACTAAAAAAGCAGCAGACTCTATGTTAATGAAGATTGGCTATTATGACTTGTTGGCCCAGCTGATTTTCTGTCACATTATCATGATAATGTTACCTTTATGCTTAAAATATTTTAAAAAAATGTTTTTATCTGCAATTGCTTTTCTGAGAAGAAGCATACTTTCATTAAATTTTCAACAAAAAAGGTGAAGGATGAAGGAAGGGGGACCTCCCCTAAAAAGAAACAGAATTATCTTCTGGAAGGTGGGCCTCTTGTAGTACAGGCTTCCCCTGCTAGGTGTGTGTTCTAGGGACCCATTTGTATCAGTGTACCAGCTGGTGTTGTGAGAGGCTGCATTCAGCTTCAGTGAATGTTTTGAGGGCTTTTTAAACATGTTTGCCCATTTTATGATGGGTGATTTCCAAGTGCACCTGCTCACACATCCTATTCACCTGATTTCTCCTGGCTGATTTTTTTTGTTTCCATAGATTAAAAAAGTCCTCAAAAGGAAACGTTTTGCCAATGTGGAAGAGGTGAAACAAAAAACAGCAGCACTAAAAGGCATAGAAATCAACAAGTTCAGAAACTGTTTTGAGCAGTGGGAAAAAAAGTCTCGATAGGTGTATTGCATCAAATAGAGAGTACTTTGAAGGTGACTGAAGTTTAAAATGTAAGAATAAATACACATTTTAAAAAATAAATTCCAGCTTTTTTGGGGGGGGTCCCCCCTCATACTGTGTTACAGTGTGTACATGCTCCTATAAAAAGGATTTTGAGCAACAGTGCTATTTATTAGATTTTAGGTACTGCAAATGCCTGACAGACACAAGTTCTGTAAAAACAACTCTAAAGGTTGTCAAGAAGTACAAATTATCTGGCAGGGTCAACTACACTTCTAGAAGTCATGAAAATGTTTTTATCTTTTAACATAGTAATCCTATTTCAGTAGAGAAATAATCTAAAAGAAGAAAAAAGCTATAAATAAATGCTTGTAAAACAATATGGAAAAACTGAGGCAATCTAACTGTTATATGGAGAAAATGAGTTAATTCAGGTTGTAGATACTTAATGGCATATAATGTGGCCATTAAAATCATAACCATGTATAAGACCATGTTATTATACTGAAAATGCTTAAAACATAATATACATAATATTAAATATGAAAACCAAGACAGAAAGAAAATTTCACATATACTCTGATCACAATTACATAAAGAAGATAAATGGGAATACCTAAAAATTATACTGGATTCCTTCTCAGAAGTCTACCTTTTGTGCCAAATAAACTCACCACTGAAGAAGAGGAGAAGAAGGATGCTGGACACCAAGTGGAGTTCACCTTGGAAGAAACCTGTGAGGTAAAAGAATGACTATCTTGATAAACAAGAGCAGAAAATCATTAAAAACTTAGTAAATGGCTACTATATGCTTAATATTATAGTAGTTATTGTGGATATATGAAAAAAGACTTGATGTTTGCTCTCAAGGGTCATATAATCTTTTTTTTTTTTAAAGATTCTCACCCAAGGATGTGTTTATTGATTAGACAGAAAGAGAGAGACATCAATGTGAGAGAGAAACATTGATTGGTTGTCTTCTGTATGCACCCCAACTGGGGATGGGACCTGCAACCTAGGCACATGCCCTGCCTAGGAATCGAACCTGCACCCCTTGGTGTATGTGATGATGCTCCAACCAACAGAGCAACCCAGCCAGGGCAAGGATCATATAATCTTTAAAGTGAAAAGACAGAAGACTGAGATACAGGAAACTAGTAAAAAATAAACCATGATTGTGTCCTCAATTTCTGAACAGTCCTGATTTAAAAAAAATTGTCATTAGTCCATATTTTCCTAATTTTTGGCCTGGAAAATGTAGTACCATAAATCTAACAATATGAAAACACTTAGCATGGTATCTAACACAATAGGTATTGAATGTAAGACAGTATATAACCAAGTATCAAATATGCTTGATATATATAAATACTTGAACACAAATGTTCATAGTAGCTTTACTCGTAATAGCCTAAAACTTAGAAACAACCCAATGCCCACCATTGGATGAGTAAACAGGGAAACTAATGCGATATATCCATACATTGGTCTTCTACTCAGCAATATAAAAGAATAAACTATTTCTAAATGCAACAACATGAATACCTATAGCAATTATATTAAGAAGTCAGACATAGAGTATATACTATATAACTTATTTATATAAAACAAGAAAATGCAAATTAGTCTGTAGTGTCAGAAAACCTATCAATGGTTGCCTAAAGATGGTGAGGAAGGCAGAGAAGGTAAAAGGGAAGTTTTTTGGGGTATGGATATATTAATTATCTTGATTGTGATGATGTTTTCACAGATGTATACAAATGCTAAAACATCAAAGTGTACACTTTCAATATATATAGTTTATGCCAATTTTATTTCAATAATTTTTAATGCCACATATATAGGGTATAATCAGGATATTGGATCAGTTACAATAGCTCTAAATAGTGTGTATATATGTTATGAAAGTTGATTTAAGAAATATTAAAGTCTAATCAAATGAGCACTCTAAAATACCCGGGATTGGAATATAAAAGAAAGCTGCAATCTAGTAATCTGTTACCTTGTCTGAAGAGAGGCCGTATTAACCAAAGGATTAGCGCTGCATTAAGTGTAAGAACTTTGCACCTGTAGCACTGTCCAAGGGGGCTGGTCCTATGGATCAGCAGACAAACCTTCCACATGCCTTGTCTGTTTCCGCCACCATTCTTCACAAAAGCTATTTTAAACCATCAACACTCTTGTGGAGTCCACCGTATCTTATTTATAACCATGTTCCCAATACCAACCTTGTACATGGCAGGTGTTCAATAAATATGTACTGTACAAAAGAAAGGTCCACTAGGCCTGACTGCCCCATACCCCAGACTAGGTTAGGTGTCTCTTTTTTTGTACTCCAGTAGCAGCCAATATTTCCCCTATCAGGTTTATTTGTCTCTGTTTTAATTGCCTGGGTCCTTGTCTGTTTCCCAAGACTCTAAGTTCCACTACGGTAAGCACTGTACCTGTTTTGTTTACCTACTATACAGAGTTACTGTGATCAAGGTTGTACAGATATGAAAACAGTTGCTGTTCATTAAATGTAATTATTCTATTATTATATATACTTATTTGCTCTCATTCCTTGCTATTATAAAACTTGTCAATTATCTTAAAATTTCAAACTCTGCTACTTCCCCTCTTATTCTCAAGAGCTGATCTTATTTTCCTATCACAGAGGAATCAGAAACCATCAGATGAGAACTTCAACTTCCTACTAGCAAATCTACAAAACTGATCTTCCTTCCACCAACCTGTTCTGCTTCCTAGAGCCCATCTTGCAGTGAGTGAAACTACTTACTATTCACCTAGTTGCCTAACCAGAAACCTGAATGTCACAAGTCCTCACAGTGAATGAAAGAAGTCCTGGCATTTTGTTCTCCCAGAAATCTTTGAATACACCCTTTTCTCCAGCTCTCCCGCAATCACCCATACCACCATTGTCTCTCACCTGGATTTCAATCTTAAATCTTCTGAACCTAGTTTCCACCCCATAGCCAGAGGGTCTTTCTAGAACACAAATTTGATTGGATCACCCCTTGTTTAAAACCCTCCAATGGCTTTCCACTGCCCTTGGGAAAAAGACTAATCTTAAAGTTGCTTAGAAGACTCTACAAAGTATCTTCTTTTTTTAGTTTTATAGATCACCCAGGTCCTCCCCGCTCTCTCTGTTCTAGCCACTTGAACACATTTTGAGCTCTTTGTCCTTGCACATGCTGCACCTTCTTGCCTGATATTTCATCACATTTGCTTTGTCCACTCCTACTTCTTTGGTCTCTACTTAGCCATCACTTTGGGTATAGAGGTGCAGGTCAATTTCATAGGTTTGCTAGTAGGAAGTTGAGGAAGTTCTCACTCCATGGTTTCTATTTTCTCTGAAGTAAGAGAAACAAGGTTAATTCCTGAGAGTGAGAGAAGTAGCAGACTTGAAAGTTTTGAAGTCTCAGTCTCAGGCCTATGCTAAGTAGCTGATTGTGGAGTTCGTAGAACACCTGAATTCCTCTATTTATCGTATCATATTATGGAATGACATCTTGTTTAATTATTAAGTCTCTTTTCCCTTAGATCACTGGATGGTTGTGCCCTCAACCCCTAGCACTGTTCCTGGAATAGAGTAAGCCCTCAGTCATATTTTGCAGAATGAAAGAGTAAGTACTCACCAAGCAATCACTTGACATTAATTTTGTTTCATGTATACTCTCTCATAGGGCAGAAGATGGATGGATCAGCCACCTTGAGCATTCTAGGCCACTTAGTTTTATTTTTTTCCCTTGCACACAGCCTCCCTGCTGTCAAGAAGGCATAAAGGGCACTCTATCTGGTATAACGAAACATTATCATAGTTTTTGACAGGTTATATCTCCTATCTTTTCTTCATTTCCCAAGAAACAATCATTAGCACTGTTGCTGAAGAAACTATCCTATGTACCATCACATCAAACTTCTTTCCCCCTAGACTGTTCATTTTGTACTTGCTATTTCCTTTACCAGAAACTCCCTTTTCCACCTGGTTAATCCTGCTAGTCCTGCTAGTCTTGCAAGACTCAAGCTGAGAACCAACTCCTTTTGGAAGATTTTCCTAAATTGCACAGGTTGAGTTTGTGGCTCTCTCCATGTGTTCTTGCAGTACTCTGTGCACTCCTATTATTTAGCACTTAATGTTGCATTATAATAAGGGAGGTTCCAGTGAGTATTTTATTTACCTCTCCTTTCCCAAAGCCTAGGGAGAGTGCCTGACACAAAGAGATGCCAAGATTTAAGTCCTGAGTTTAATTACTAGTTGGGAAATCATGGATGCTAAGTGTTAGGTAATTTATCTGTTATATTCATTAATTCTAATCTTTATAAATATTCTTAAAACTAGAAAATGTTGGAGCTGGGATAAAACGCAAGTATGATTGTGAAGCCTGCCTTTTATACTACATCACTGGGGCAAGTCACTGAGACTCTTTAAGACTGGTTTTCTGAATGGGAAACATAATACCACAAGGAGAAGTTCTAAATTTTACTAGTCACCATAACAGAGAAAATATGCTGAACACGCACTTTAAATAACTGAGGACATGAACTCTCTCCTTTACACGTCCTTTTGATAGTCCTCTAAAATTCATGACTGCTGGAATCTAGACTGCTCTTTATCAAAGTTTCATGTTACAGTAACTACTAGTCGGCTAAGAATTACTGTTTCTGTTCTTTTCTAGTTCAACTCAGAAGTTTCTTCAAGTGAGTAAGAAAATAGTGTTTCCAAAACAAAGTACATGGGAAGGGAAATTTTTCTCCTTGATGCAAAAGATAAAAACCCTCTTAAGGATCTCTTCTTCTTTTTTAAAAAAATATTTTATTTCTTTACTTTTAGAGAAAGGGGAAAGGAGGGGAAAAGAGAGGGAGAGACAATTAATCACAACTGGGGACTTGCATGTGCTCTGACAGGGAATTGAACCACGACTGTTTGGTTTGTAGGCTGGTGCACAATCCATGGAACCACACCAGCCAAGAGTAGGAGCTCTTCTTAATGACTCACTGTGTTTGAGGGGACAGGAAGGAGGCAAAGGAAAAAGTCAATTTCATTAAAAGCTTTCAAGGAGAAATAGAAAATGGGTGGAAACTTTTCACTTCTACTATTAAAAAAGGATACTAGTTAAACAAAACTGGGATGACAGCAAGAAATACACTACTGAAGCCAAATCATCTGACAAACCCTTCCAACCCATTCTCCACACTTTCCCATTAAATAGCATATATAAACATTAACCTTTGCTGACTCTAAGAATCTTAAAAATGAGTAAGTTTCTGCACTAGGACTCATTAAACTTGGTAAATACCAATATTATCTGAAAGTCCAGCAGTATAAAGGACGTTCCCAGGTGGGACTCATGAATAGGAGGGGCACTGTTGTTTCTTGCAGGTTGGAGAATATTGTCTGAAGCAAATCTTGGCTCATATTCCAAGTCCTTGCTAAGTTGTGAACAACAGGGGAAACGGTATGAACAGAGTTGAAGGTCACAGGTCTACCACCCCTTCTTAGGCTGGCTTCCTAGAGGACCCAACCACCCCAGTCTCCATGGGCACTTGAAGGTGTGCTGGTCCATTAAAAACTGACTTAGGGGCTGCAACTTGGAACTTAAACTTCCTGTCTTCCTTGGTTCGCATTTTCTATTACCTGTTTTAGAGATGTTTAGTCCCTTGCATGTGCTTGAAATAAACTAGTAGCATAAATGTGTTCTTATTTACCACCAACATAAACACTGTAACTTTGCTGAGAGCAAGTTTAACAAAGTCTTGGCAAGCAAGGGGAGAGTCCGTAGCCTGTGGAAAATACAAAAAGCCACAGCTGGGGGAGATAGCTTAGCAAACGGCTGTTTGGGTGGGGGGGACACTTCTAGAAGAAGATTCAAAGTCCATTCACTGACCTTGCCCCTCGTGTGTCCCCTTCTCCTCCCTTTGAGCTCGGGGTATGGACAGTGAAATAGAGTCGGGGAAGGGAACAATCTGGACGCTCCTGGCAGGTGAAAAAGCTCTGAAAAAGGTGACCAGATGAGAGTTTCTAGGGAGAGAGGTGGCTGGTGCAGCGGTGAAAAGCAAAGAATGTGGGAGGACCGAGGTGAGGGCAAAAGAGTGTGACAGCAGTAACGGGGCACGGCTGGAAGAGGAGAGTGGGCCTGAGCCAGATAAGGGGAGGCTCAAAACTAAAAGTGGGGAGGGACAAGGGTAACAGTCCGGGGACAGACCCAAAGAGTGCGGATACCGAGTGAGGTGGGTGGGACAGGGCCGCACGTCTCGTGGGAACAGCAGGGTCGTCCAGGAAGGGGCTGACTCAAGAGAGTGGACGGAAAGGATCCAATTCCTAGCTCCGCGACCCCTCGGCACCACCCTCACTCGCCTGCAGGATCCGAGCCCGCACTGCCGCCGCCGCCACCACCGCCGCCATGGTTCCCGGCTGCTGCTTCTCAGCCTTCCGGTGCCTCTACTCCCCGTGACTCCCTATAACTGTAGCTGCCAGCCTTTGCCCCACCATCCTGTCGCACCTCTTCATTGGTGGAGACGACCATTTCCGCCAACCAATCATTCGTCCTGACTCCTGACTCCACCCCTCATTCCCAGTTTTGGGGGTAGGCGATTGGTCAGAAGTGAAAGGGCTGCCCTCCTCTCCCACCTCAGCAAATTCTGTTGGCTGAAGTAGGAGGACGCCCCTAACTTGGATGCTCTATATTCAGCGTTGAGGGAAGACGCCCCCTAACCGGGAACCCCGATTGGCCACAGGGAAGACTGCGGCCCCACCCCACAATGAGGAAAGTAAATAAAACCCTCCTAGAATTTTGCAAGCGCTCCACCTATTCCAGTGTGCGAGGTGCTGCGGCCAGCTTTAGGGGCGGGGCTAGGCAAAGAGAGCCCTATGCGGGGGAAAAGAGATGGGACCAAGAGTTGGGGATAGGGTTTCTCTTTGAGGGCGTGGCTTGTGAGTCGTAGCTTTCCCGCCGACGGTTGGCCCCGTCACGTGACATGGGTTGGAAGATGGCGTCTCCCACAGAGGGTAAGAGCCGGCTTAGAGATCTTTCCTTCGCCTGCTCCCCTGGTGACTTCCGCTCTCCGTCTGCCCGTCGAATTTACCCTTCTTTCTTGGGCTCCTCTGTTTTCCCTTCCCCTTCTCTTCCTTAGAATGCGGGTGCGTGTTCAGCTCGCCGATCCTTCACAGCTGCTCCGAAGCTTCCCAGTTTCCCCGCTGAGTACCAGGCGGGTGGAGGAGGGCACCCACGAGGGACCCATCCCGGGCCCTGCTCTTCCCTTAATCTCACTTCAGTGAGGGCCGAGGAGGCATAATGCTGGGCGAAAGGAGATCCCTTGCTGTAGCTTTCTTCTGGGGCGCCCCATTGAGGGGTCAGTTCTCTTTGATCACCTGGAACGATTCTCTCCAACTCTACTGGGACTGGTGGCTGACCTCATCCCGGGACTAAATATGATTCTCTTCTGTCTCCCCGGATTGGTACGGTTGTCTTGGCAGCAAGAGAAGCGGGGGATCTTTCCGGCCCCTGGCCATGAGAGTCCCAAAGAAAATGAGAATTGAGCTTTTTAGTATAGTCTTGCACACGTCCTAACCTCTCTTGCTTCTGCTGTATGTGTTTTCTCAGGCTGAGTGAGTGAACGACTTACATATATAACATAATCTATAATATAACCTGTTTATATATAATCTAAGATGTAAGTCATCCCAGCAGCTAAGTGGTTTGGATATGCCCATACGCTTTTGCGCTCGATTCTGCTTAAGAGAGTTAGGGTCTTGCAGTCATTTCTGAACTCATTTTTTGCTTCTCCTGCCCCCACCCCCTCGTCCATTTCATTGATATGTAGTTTACCTTCCTCAAACCAATGCATTTTTTGTTTGGAAGGAATCTTGGGAGTTGATTTCAGAAATGAGGAAACCGAGGCCAAGAAAACTGTATTGGCTATCTACTAAATGAAAAGCATAATGCTAGGTGCTTTGGGAGAAGAAAGGATTAATCAGCCATGTAAACTCTTGCAGTTTCAGGTCTTAATTTTAGATGTCACCTCCCGGAATGTAGTATATGGATTTTCCCATCTTCAACATTGTTCACTATCTCAGTACCTTTATTGTCACATAGTTATTCTGTTAATTTTGCCCCTATCACAGTAGATTATAAATTCTAAGTCTGTCTTGATCATAGGTGAAAGAATGATTTGATACATACATAAATAATATTACTTCATCTTAAGTTTCAGGTTAACCCAGTCCTGAAGTTTTTTGAGTACAGGTAAACTGTGTAAGAAATTATTGATGTTCAGAGTCAAAAGAGATTCTTTCTCCTGCTTGGTGCTCTCTGGTTAAAATGTCCTTTTCTTCCCAGAAAAAACAAACAAACAACAACAACAACAAAAAAACAAGGGGGAGCGAGGGCATTTAAATAGCCAAGGGAATGGATGGGGAGTTATTGTTTAATGGGTACTGAGTTTCCGTTTGGAAAGGTGAAGAGTCATGGAGATGGATTGTGATGATGGTTGCACCACATTGTGAATGTACTTAATGCTGATGAACTGTACACTTAAAATGGTAAATTGTGTTATGTATATTTTACCACAATTTTTAAAAAGTTAGCCAAGTGACAGAAGTATAAGTAATTTCTGTTAAAATTTTTAGTTTATTATGAGGTTATTTTTGATTTATAAGTTTTGGAGATTTTAGCTCTGTTCCATGTGTTTGATTTTTGTGTTTTCTCAATTTCTTTTCTTTGGCCAGGAAGAGTATTGGAAACATTATATATTTTTTTCCTTTGATCTGTTAGTCATCTCCGTTGTTACTCTTGGCATTCTTGATTTTTAAAAGTCCTCAGTCTCATCCTTTACAAAGTTTCACTTCTCTGTCTAATCTTTTTTTTAATCTGACGGAAATCAAGTTTAGCACTTTAAATGTAAATTCAGCTTCTACATAAGTACATCATCCTAAAATATTTCCCTGCCTAGCTCTCTCACTCGTTTTTAGTGTTCCACCTGTCCTTATCTTTAAACCTTAAATCAAGTAATATTGATTTGAAAAAAATTAGGTCATTGCCCTGGGTGGTGTGGCTCAGTGGATTAGCACCCACCTGTGAACCAGGAGGTTGCCGGTTCCATTCCCAGTCAGGGCACATGCTTGGGTTGCAGGCCAGGTCCCTTGCTGTGGGCCTGCAAGAGGCAACCAACTGATGTTTCTCTTGCACATCAATGTTTCACTCCCTCTCTATCTCCCTCCCTTCCCCTTTTTCTGAAAATAAATAAATCTTTAAAAAAAAGAAAGGTTAGGTCTTTTATTCATTTGCCTTTTTAATGGTAAATTTCCTGGGACTTCTTTTGAAAAGGAGAAAATCAAAAGAAAATAAATCTACTTAATTACTTAAATTATGAAAGCAAGACTCACAGCAGAGTCTGAATTATGCCCCTGACTGGTTTTCATAAGGCCATCCTTGTTGGTTATTGGCTCTTACCCTCAATAAGTTTATTTTTATTATGGTTGAGCTTCCCATTGGTAACATCCCTTAGGAATTTGAAAATTGATGTTTTGTATTACACACAGCTTTCCTTTCTTACAATTTTTGGATGCTTTAGTTAAGGAAATTTGTTAAGAGTTGAGTTCTTGATCAATTAGAATGTCATTGGAAATTCTCTTAGAATGTTTGGGAGAAAATACAATTTAGAGAAAAGTTCATGTTGAAAAATTTGTATATGTGTACATTTTCTGGGGAGTGAGCCCACAGCTTTTTTTTTTTCTTTTCTCCTTTTTCTTTTTCCAGATTTCAAAAGATGTGGCTTACCCAGAAAATGTTAAGAACTACTGTTTATATTATTACAGTAACTAATGTATGCAGCTAATTAGCATACAATATGTATTCAACAAATGTTAATTGTTGTTAATATCCAGTATCTACTGAGTGCCCAGGCAAGAGTGGAGAGGAAATGGTATCAAAGAATTAGGCTGAATCATGTAGGTCATGGTAGATACAAATTCATGGATTTAGCTGGGAAGAAGTCCTTTAAGCTAGAGAGTGACATGAACTGATTGGCATTTTATAAAAAATCAGTGTTGACTACTTTGTGGAGAATAGATATGTAGGTAGGGGGGGAAGGGGTAAGAATGGATAAAGGGAGATCAGTTACGAGGTTGTTGAAGTAGTCCAGGATAGAATGATGGTTCCTTGGTTAATTATTTTGGTTCCAGGATATATTTTGAAGATAGAAACTAGTGGGTATATTAATATTTTATTATGGAAGGGTGGAGGAAAGGGAGGCATGAAGAATGGATGGCCTCTGAGTTTTTGGGAACTCGGGTTTTTTGTGGCAGTACTGTTTCTTGAGTTATAGAGGACTGGGAGAGTATGGTTTTAAACATATTAGACAAAGGGATTTTTCACACACGTAAATGGATAGAGACATCAAGTAGCTACTTAGATGTAGAACTCTGAAGTTCAAGGAAAGATTGGGACTGGAAATATAAATATGGAATCATTGGATGTAAAGGTTATGGGACTAGATGAGATCTCCTTAGGAGTCTTTAGGTAGAGAGTGAAGCCAGCCTAGGATGGTGCCTGAGTGGAAGAGGAGAATGAGGAAGGGGTCAGTGAGGAAGAAGAAACACCAGTACCGTGGTCTTACAGAAGCTGCAAGTGAAGTGTGTTAAGGAGGGTGGTCAGTGTGCGAATGCTGTGAAGAGACCCCATAAAAGAGGACAGAGAAGTGATCACTGGGTTTAGTAGCATAGATTATAGGTGACCTTGACAATAGCAGTTTCTGTGTGTCTAGGAACAGAAGCCTGATTGTCATGGGTTAAGACGAGAATGTGAGGTGAGGAAGTAGAGGCAGCATTATAGATAAACAACTCAAGAACTTTTGGATGAAGGAGAAGTGGGGCGGTAATGGAGTCAAGAAAGTTTTTTCAAAGAAGGAAAATTCTACAGCATGCTTGCTTGTAGCTGAGTATGAGCCCGTAGAGACAGTTGAAACTGTGTAAGAAAGATGTTATTTATGATGCCTTTGATAGAGCAAGAGAAGCTGGAATTCAGAACCCTAGGAGAGGAGTTTGTTTTTCTTGAGAGCAGGGACACTTAGTTGATTGTAACTGGAAGAAAGTCTAAGAGTATGAGTGAAGGTGCTGGTGGGTTTGTTGGTAGTCATTTTTCCTAACCCCACTAAAACATTAGAGATCGGTAAAGTGAATTTGATGAGAGAATGATTCATTTGTATAAGATTTTTTTGTAGTTAAACAAATCAGATCCCTAGACTTCCAGATGAATGAATGTTCTAGTTGTTATGTTCTTTGAGACTGAAATGTTATAAAATATAAATTAACATATTTTGTGTCTTCTTGGCTCATCTTGGTATTTTTTTTCTAGGGACAGATCTGGAAGCATCTTTGTTAAGTTTTGAAAAACTTGACCGTGCCTCACCAGACCTTTGGCCAGAACAATGTAAGTTCTTGGTTTCTTTATATCAGAATCAATACAGGCGAACCAGTGCTACATTGAGGGAGATTTTTGAACAGATATCATTTAACTGTAATGGTTAAAATTTTAATTTTACTTCAAAGGGAAGAGACTGAATTCTTCGATCCAATGTTAACAGCTATTTGGTGGTTTAATTTTTTCAGGACACAGTGCAACTCAGAAAATGATAGAGAACCTTTAAAAAATTATTTTTTAAAAAAATCTGTAATACAGAGATATGTAATGTATTTCCTCTCTTATAAAATCATCATTAATAGTTTGGTGTAATCCTTTTGGCCTTTTTTATACTTATTCAGTTAAGCAAATAAATACATATTTTTAAGTATATAGAGGGTTTTTTAAAAACAGATTTTAGTTATTGCTAGAGAAAGGGGACGAGAGAAAGACAGGGAGAGAAACATCAATGTGTGGTTGCCTCTTGTGCACCCCTAACTGGGGTTTTGGCCTGTAACCCAGGCAATGTGCCCTGACTGGGAATCAAATTGGCAACTTTTTGATCCATCCACTGAGCCACACCGGCCAGGGCTAGAGCGGTTTTGTTTTGTTTTTTCGTGGGGGATATAGTGATGGGGTCATATGTGCATGGTCTACAGCTTAACTTACTCCGCCTAGAGGAAGTAATTTATTAATGAATACTCCCATGTTAGTAGATGTAGATCTGCTTTATTCTTTTAAAGTATTTCATTGTATAAATATATCATAGTTTATTCATACCCTATCTGGGAACCTAAGTTATATCCAGTTTTTGATATTACAAATAATTTAATAGTGAATATTCTTGCACAAATATCTGTGCACATGGAAGAGGATGACTATGTATAAGAGTGCCCATTTACTCACACACTACCTAATATTGAATGTTACTGATCTTTATTATTTTTAGTTTGTATATCTCTAAGTGAGATTGAACATCATTTTATTTTTAAATACCTGCTTTTTATTTTTCTGTTTTTTTATGTGATTCTTCCTGTGAGACATTTAAATAAACAATTGGATTGGCAGAACAGCATACCTAAAAAGGAAATTTAAACTTTTATTTGGTAAGAGATATTGTATCTTGCCACTCTCCCATTCAGCTAATTCCTGATCCTTCAAAGTTTCGTTGAGGCATTATTTTCTCTGAGAAGCTTTTCCTCTCCCCTTAGTCAGATTTAGATTTCCTTTTTTTATTTTTTATTTCTGGTGGTGGTAGTGGTGGTGGTGGTGGTGGTGGTGGTGGTAGGCGGGGGTCCTTCCTTAGCACCTGGTATCTTTCTTGGAGCACTTGAACAATATTATAATTAGTGATTCACTCTCTCTTCTTTTCCAGACAGTAAGCTCCTTAAAGATAAGGCTGTTTGCTTCTTACTATTTAAATTCTCTCTGTCTGGGACACTAAAAGTTTTTTGAATAAGTAATGTATTTTTTCTTTTTAGTACCAGGTGTTGCTGAATTTGCAGCCTCTTTCAAAAGTGTAAGTAATATTTTACTTACCTATTAAAGTTTATCCAATGTCTTGCTCCTTGGTAAAAGCTCACTATCTCTTAGTTCTTTGTTTTCAAGAATAATGTCATAGTCTTTTAAATCACTTTGTAACTACAGCCCTGGAGATCTGTCTATATAATTATCATGTTAATTGATGATAATATCTTTCTCTGTCCAAATGCCCTATTTTGGCATTTTGACCTTTGTCTATTAGCCTCTTTTCTTAGCTTGAATGCTTTTAATGCAAGGCAGTTGAAATATTTAATGTAACACCAGCATTGTTTTTGCCTAGACTATGACCTGAAGTTGTTTTCTTTCATTTATGTGAGACATTATGACCTTAACTTATACCTCTTTAGAGGGTTTTTGAAATTTCTCAGTGGTTCATCAGAAACCAGAGGAAGACATCCATTAGAACCACAACTTTTCTACTTCCAGGGGAGTAGGCACTGTACTAGATACTGTATATATGTTGTCTTATATATTCCCACAACTAGGAGAATATGATTATAATATTATAATAGCATTTACATGGTGTCTGCCATGTGCCAGGCACTGTTCTAAGCACTTTAAATGTGTTAGTTAATCCTCAAAAAACCATATGAGGCATTTTACAGACAAGGATATAGGCACAGAGTAAGAAGGTATCCAAGGTTATAGACTAGATATGGCAGAAACAGACTCTGAGCCCGTTAGTTTGATTACTAGTATCTTCACTCTAACACCACACTTAGAAGCATTTCAGCCCAATGTTAAAAGCACTGACTGACAAAAACACTTGGAAGATAAGCTATTTGCTCAAGTCCTAGTAACAGGTCGGGATTTGAACACAGGCCTGCCTGATTGCAAAGCCCATGCTCTTTCTGTTAAACTAAAACATTGGGGATTTATACTATAAAGCTCACAGTGTCTTACTATATGCTCAGCATTCTTTACTCATTATTAGAGTTAAAGGTACTAAGTTAAATATTAAGGCCCCTCTGGGCCTGTGGCTTTTAGGTCCCATGAAAGTATTTGTTCAGAGGGAGCCTGACTTTGTAGCCTCTTTTCACTTTTTTCAAGAGCTAGGATTTCCTGTAAGGAGGCCTGTGCTCTGTTAGCCTAAGCATGAGGAGTTTAGAATAGCGTAGGGCTTTGGAGTCAGACACACTTGAATTTGAATTCTGAATCTGCTTCTTAATAATCTGACCTCAGCAACTTTTCTAACATTTTTGAGCCTTAGTTTTCTCATCTGAAACTACCTCATAGGATTCTTAATGCCCTAATGAGTGTTAAACACTGTGCATAGTACCTGGAACATAATAAACAATAGTCGGTAGCTATTAGTATTAAATCAGCTTTTGTCTCGTAGATGGAGTAGAAAGTTACCTGATTTAATTTTTTAAAAAGATTTTATTTATTTATATTTTTAGAGAGAGGGGAAGATAGGGAGAAAGAGAAGGACATTGATGTGTGAGAGAAACATTGATCAGTTGCCTCTTGCATGCCCCAAACTGGGACCTGGCCCACAACCCAGGCACATGCCCTGACTAGGAATCGAGCCATTGACTTTTCCATTTGTGGGAGAATGGTCAACTCACTGAGGCATACCATTCAGGACTATTTAACTTTTTTATATTCTTATTCTTACTGACTTTCCAGTTTCGTTAATTGTATGTGGTAACAACTAAGTATTTTGAGTCATAAATGTAAACAAGGGGCTTTAAAATAGCTATTTATTAGAGTATGTTGTTATTTGAAAATCTGATTAAATATCGACATTTTATCTGTAGAAGTATGCACAAACATATTGAGTTTTATTTCTAGGGGTTCAGGGTCATCCCAGGTTGCCTGGTATAATTTGTTTCCTGAAATGGTATATTTGTCCTAGAGCCTTCTAGAGGAGATAGTATAGAGTAGTGATCTGATCTCATATTACATGGATTTAGAATTCTGGCTCCATTAGCTGTGTGACCTGAGGCAAGAGATTTATAATCTTCCTGTATATTAGTTTTTTCATTTGTAAAATGAGAATAATAATACCTGCTTCATAGGGTTGATTTGAAAATTAAATGACATAATGCATGCAAAGTGTTTTGTTAGTCACACAGTGTTGAGTAAATATTAATTTTCTAAAAAGAAAAAGAGCTCAAAGCTGAAGTCATGTTTCTCAGCTGTACCCCTACCTGTACAAAATAATTGTCAGTATGCAGTTGTGGAGCTTTAAAAATACATATGTAATGCTTCTTGCTCTATTTTCTCCGCTGGACCCTTCCCCCACTCCTGGTATTCTAAATCAGTGTATCTGAGGTATGGCCAGGTCATTTGTTTCTTTTTTTGGTTTGCTTCTTTGTTACATGATAGATGATTCTTACTTGCAACTAGGATGGAAAACTTGCCAAAACTATTCTAAGAATGGGCTCTTTCAAATTTCAAGTTCACTTTTGGAAATGAGAAGATAACTTGAAATTCTAAATTTTTTTTAAAACATCTATCATAAAATGAAATTTCAAGTGATGATCATTACAGTGTTCTGACAAATTGAGGATTTTCCCATTCTCAGTTCTTTGTATATTCTCTGCTAGACAATGTTGCCTACTGATTATTGTTTCAAACATTTTAGTTGGAAGCTTTCCCCAGAACTGAATTTCAAGTAATTTCTTTTTATTTATTTTATTTTGAGAGTATGTTTATTAAAGCTGTGGACAATGAAACAAAAGAAGGGCTTAGGGTAGCGGAAGCAACAGGAGAGTGCCTGGGCAGTGCTCTACTTTGACTCCCTAGAATCATTACAGGAAAGAAGTGAACCACGCTGGGCCTTGTGAATTCATTGAGAGGTAAAAGGCACAGTGACAGAAATGAGCCATCGTGGGGCTGCTGTTAGCTCACTGAAAAGCTGCAGAAATGAGGGCCTTGGAGACATGTTCAGTGGGTTAGCCTGGGATGAGCTGCCGCTGCCCATTGCTCCCCTGGTTGCAAGTCTCGGTCGGGGAGGGGGGGCCCTTTGAGTTTAGGAGAAAAAAGTAAAGGTGCAAAGCCTGAGAGGGAAGAAGAGCATGGGGTGTGCTCTAGAGAGCCTGCAACAAGTCATTTATTTTGTTGCTATACTACTGTGTTATGCATGAAAAAATAACAGGAGTCAGACCTAATCCTGTCACAGTCATTTCTCTGAGACCCACTTTAAGGATGAGCAGTGTTATTTCGTAAGGTGACTATTTCAAGGCTATATCTGAGCCTGGAGAAATCTGGATTTTTAGAAATTATAATTCATCATTATTTTCAAACAATCTGCATGCTGTGTGGCAAGTGACTTATAAGAAGGAAGAGTAGGGTCACTTCACGCTTTGTGCATACCTGAATGGATATATTCTGATTTTTTTGACAGCCTATTACTAGCTCACCACCCAAATGGATGGCTGAAATAGAACGTGATGACATTGACATGTTGAAAGGTAAGCTGTGCTGGGGACCTCTTACTTTTAACCTGATATTTTTGCTCCCCCACAAACCAGCTTCCTAGTTTTTTTCTCACTATTCCCTTAAAAGTATAGCTTCAGACTGCCTCCTTAACTATCCTTATTAATAGTTCTTCATGTCTAGATGCCTTTCTTTACTTTCCCATGTATAGAAACCTTCCTAATATAAGACCTGCTTATAATGATTTCTGCTGCTAAATTCCTTTGTTAATACCTTTGTTTTGTATAAATCTTACAGTTAACAAGAAAGCTCTCACATAAATTTTCTCATTTAATTCTCATAAAAGTCTTGTGAGTGAGGTACGATGATCTCTAAGATTCAAAGGTTAACTTAACCAAGATTTGTTAGAGTAAAAAATTTAAACTTTTATTTTTTAAGTCTAGTCTCTTTCCACGATAAACAAGTGCCTTATTTAGGATTTACTGCCGTGTATTGTTGTCAGTACTGTTAATTGACAACCCCTTAGTGGGTTAAGACTTGTCTTTTATTTCATTCTATTCAATCAATTTCTCCCATAAAGAATACTATAAGTAGTGAATATTGTTGTTTGATAAATGACTTGGAACTCAATCACAAGTGGAAATTTAAATTAAAAGACATTAATTTTCCTTGAGTTTTGCTCTACTTTATTTATTTATTTTTTAATCATCCTCTGGTGATGAGATTCATGATGATTGTGAAGTAATAGACTGAAAGGAAGGTTAAAGATCTTGGACTGTTATGCTATTTTAGCAGCTGAACAGGTCAAGAAAGTCTACTACTTATGCCAGATATTGATGAGTATGGCATGATAACTGGGAGAAAATAACACCTTTATTTGATTTCAAAGGTAATTCATTTTTCTGCATGAAATGCTTAAATGCAGATTCCTCCAACCATGGAAATAATAAATCTGAAGGGCATTTCAGGTTCATTGTTCTAATGTCCCAAACAGACGTTTATATAATATGCCACAAATGTGCATTTTCTAAGAAAACTTTAAATTTTTAGTAAGGGATGATAGCATTATGTTCCACATATGTTGACCTGTATCTTAAACCTAAAAGGAATTTCAGGCTGTGCTCTTTAAATGAAAATTTGGAAAAGTAAGTTTTTATTTTCTTTTTATGGGTATTTGATTTGAAGGGAAAGTTTGGATTAATATTTAGTTTTTGTTTTCTAAACTTAGGGAAATGAGGAACACTACATATTTTGTCACTATTTTATTGTTAATTGAAACAATGAAGACTTAATAAAAGACAGTGGAGACAGTGTCCATTTTTAAGACTTTCTCAATGCTATGTCACATCACAAGGTTTCATATTTTAATGGCATATTTATTTTGTATGATAAACAAAATGAATGTTATGAAAGGATCCTTAGGATAAAACATAAATCACTATTGTATTTATGCTAACTCTCTTCTCATAGTGGGTAAGCTCATCTGAGGCATTTTGCAAGAGTGGGAAAAATTCACTGGGAGGAGGGTGTGTGTATATATGTGTGTAGGGGGAAAGGTTAGATGAGAAAAGAAATAGATTTATTTTCTATTTATTTGATAGAAATTAAGCTTAAAAACTTTTATAACAAGGATTCCCAACTCACATGACTTGTCACTAGAGAACAGTAGAAAGAAATGGTATTGAAATAAATTATTCTGTTTCAGAACTGGGCAGCCTGACCACAGCTAATTTGATGGAGAAGGTACGAGGCCTGCAGAACTTGGCCTATCAGCTGGGGCTGGATGAGTGTGAGTACCCAGGTCACATTGAATCAGGGTTTTCTATTGTGTATTTCATGATGAGTTCTAGCTGCAATACAGAAGGTATCTTTATTATGTTTTATGAAGGTAAGAAGCCATTGTAATCTAAAGTGTGCCTTTTATGATAAGAGTGTGCTAGAATAATGACAGAGTTTAGTATTTAACAATTATTTTTCTCTGTACAGTAAAAGGATATTTTTATTTTTAAGTGATAGGATGTCTAATCAATTTTAAGCGATAGAATGTCTAATCACCCTAGCTTTAGCAAAAGAGGGACTTTATTGGTTCACATAAATCAAAATTCGAGGAGTAGAAATCGCTTTGGGGATATCTAGATCCATGACATTTTTTAAAAATATATTTTATTGATTATGCTATTACAGTTGTCTCAGTTTTTCCTCCTTTGCTGCCCTCTGCCTAGTATCCCTATTCCTTCCTGCAATCCCCACCTCCTTACCTCATGTTCATGGGTCGTGCATATAAGCTCCTCAGCTTCACATTTCCTATACTATCCTTAACATCTCCCTGTCTTTTTGGTACCTACCAATTTCTGCTTCTTAATCCCTGGACTTTTCCCCCCTATTCTCCCCCTTCCCCCTCCCGGCTGATAACCCTCCAAGTGATCTCCATATATCAATGATTCTGTTCCTGTTCTGATTGTTTACTTAGTTTGTATTTTTAGATTCAGTTGTTGATAGTTGTGGATTTGTAACCATTTTAATGTTCATAGCTTTGATCTTCTTTTTCTTAAATAAGTCACTTTAACATTTCATGGTGGCTGGAAAATGGAGACAAATGTATTTGAACAAAAAAGAAAAAAGAAAAAGAAAAAAAATTTCATATATTGATGGCTTGGTAATGATGAACTCCTTTAGCTTTCCCTTGTCTGGGAAACACTTTATCTGCCCTTCCGTTCTAAATGATAGCTTTGTGGATAGAGTAATCTAGGTTGTAGGTCCTTGCTTTTCATCACTTTGAATACTTCTTGTCATTCCCTTCATGTCTGCAAAGTTTCTTTTGAGAAATCAGCTGACAGTATTATGGGAACTCCTCTGTAGGTAACTCTCTGCTTTTCTCTTGCTGCTTTTAAGATTCTGTCTTTATCTTTAACCTTTGGCATTTTAATTATTATGTGTCTTGGTGTGGTCCTCTTTGGGTCCAACTTGTTTGGGACTCTGTGCTTCCTGGACTTCCTGGTCTATTTCTTTCACCAAATTAGGGAAGTTTTTTCTCATTATTTTTTCAAATAAGTTTTTGATTTCTTGCCCTTCCTCTTCTCCTTATGGCATCCCTATGATTCGGATATTGGTATGTTTGGAGATGTCCCAGTGGCTTCTTATTCTATCCTCTTTTTTTTTTAAATACTTTTTTCTTCTTGCTGTTCTGTTTGAATGCTTATTTCTTCCTTATGTTCCAAATAATTGATTTGAATCCTGGCTTCCTTCCCTTCACTATTGGTTCTCTGTAGATTTTTCTTTATTTCACTTAATGTAACCTTCATTTCTGCATGGGCCTTTTTTATTCTGTTACCTTACTCAATGAGTTCTTTGAGCATCCTGATAACCAGTGTTTTGAACCTGCATCTGATAGGTTGGTTATCTGCATTTCGTTTAATTCTTTTTATGGAGTTTTGTTCTGTTGTTTCATTTGGGCCATATTTCTTTGTCTCCTCAATTTGGTAGCCTCCCTGTGTTTGTTTCTATGTATTAGGTAGAGCTGCTTTGACTCCGTCTTTGTAGTGTGGCCTGATGTAGAAGAATGAGCCTATGAATTTATTGGGGCAGAGCCTTAGGTCATCACCAGGACGGGGCAACCTGTTCCACCACTTTGTGGTACTGTGTGATGAGAGGGCTTGGAGAAGAGACAGTGCCGCTGCCTGCCTTTTGGAGGTTTGCCTGGAAGGAAGCTGTTTCCCGGCACTTGCCCTGTTTCCAGTCTCCTCAGTTTCTCCCTGTATGCCACTTGTGCCCTTCCAGCTGTTGCCCTGGTGCTGAATCCCAGAGGAGGTAGGTCTGCATAAACCCTAAATTTGTGTGGGCCCTTTAAGACTAGTCTTCTCCTGATAATCCAGCACTTTCTTCTGCCACCCCAACCTCCACTGGTTTTTATAGCCAGAAGTTATGGGGATTTATCTTCCTGGTTCTGGAACCTGGGGCTGCTGGATAGTCCGGTTTGGGGCTGTGATCCCTCGCTCATGAGGTACCCCTCCATATTTTTATCCATTTCCCATGAATGTGGGACCATCCATTCTGCCACCTCTCCACCACTCCTGTGATTGTGTGCCACTCCAAGCCTCACTACCTCCCTGAATCCCCACCCCTGCTACCTGTGTGGATGAATATGGTTTCTTTAAATTCTTGGTGGTTGGACTTCTATACAGCCTGATTTTCTGATGGTTCTGGGTGATACTTGCTTTGTAGTCTAGATGTAATTTTTTCTGTAGTTGTGAAAGTAGGCGAAGCGTGTTTACCTATGCTTCCACCCATAGATCCATGACTCTTAATGATGTCATTGGGATTTGCTTCTGTTCTTGCTTTTGTTTTGCATCTCAAGACTTCATTTCACTCATTCCTTAGTCTTACTCTTTGCTGCTGCAGATAGCTTTTTCCTAGAACTGGGGAAGGTGGCCAAAAAGAGCTCTAGTTTATGTATCTTTAAATTTCATAATCCCCAAAGAAAGAATGTCTTTTCTGAGCATTCCAAAAGAAAGGTCCTGGGGAGGATTCTGACTGTTCGTTCCATCTTGGCTTGCTTACCTATCCTGGAACTAGTCCTTTAGCTCGGTGGCATGGAGTGCTCCAGTAGATGAGGCCTGGGTCCTAGGGGCAGACACAGATTGAAAGGCTTAATCTAACTCAAATCATACGGAATGGGAGGGAACAGTTGATTCCTCAAAGAAAAAAAAAGGATCGACAACAGACCAAGAACATTATCTGCTACCATGGGTAATTATTTTTTTTATTTTATTTTATTCAATTTTATTTATTTTTAGACAGAGGGGAAGGGAGGGAGAAAGAGAGAGAGAGAGGAACATTAGTGTGTGGTTGCCTCTCACATGCCCACCACTAGGGACCTGGCCTGCAACCCAAGCATGTGCCCTGACTGGGAATCGAACCCGTGACTCTTTCGTTCACAGGCTGGCAATCAATCCACTGAGCCACACCAGCTAGAGCCTACCATGGGTAATATCTCACTTATTCCTGTCTGTTCTTCATTCTTTTAGTTTAAAATTATTTCTTTATAAATTGTATCTCTTCCCATACTATATTCATTATAAAACTAGAAAAGGAATTGTAGAAAATTTTCACTTTGTAGTTGAGTTACTCAACATAAATAGAGTGGGTAGAACTTTGTTCTCAGTGGGAACCTCCTGAGACCTTCATAAATCCACAATTTTGAGAGGCTACAATAGCTTATAATTTTCTTCAAAAATGAAGTTTTATACTGATTAGAGGATGGATTAGAGAAATCCTAAAAGTTTCCTAAGTTTATTTTTTTTTGTTTATAGAGCACAAAGTGGATTTTTTTCACATCCCTGACTTAGATTACTTCCAAATTCAACATTTAACTTTAAAATTTAATTTAAAACTTATGATTTTTGACTAACAGTCATCACTTCCTTAGCCCTCTATCTTTTATTTCCATTACTGTGATTAACAATTGGCTTCCTTTTACCAAGAAAACATTTGAATCGCTCCATAAATCAGGAGCAGAAACACAACAAACTGCTTTGAGATGCGGCTGCTAGATTGTCTGCTAGGTTCACTCATTGTGACCTAACTTTTCTCTGTGTACGGGTTGTTTATTTCTTGTGATTAAAGTTTATATCTCGGTAAAGTTACTAATTACCGGATGTGTCGTAGACCTCCAGGGTTTATAATGAAGAAACAAATCTGTGATGATTAAATTCATGAATGCAGGGCTTGTATCGTATAGAAATTGATTCTGTTTCTAGCTCTGAATAATAAATGCTGTAATGATCGTAATGATCAATCCTTTATCTCTTTGTGTCAGTTTTTTTATGAAATAAATTTTATGCTCAGTGTATCATGAAGATGCTATATTACCAAAGATGTTGGTCCAACAGTATTATCTCTAGTTAGTTATAGTTGAAATTGCTATATTTTCTCTGAATAGTTTTTTTTCCCCTGCTTTCCTGCTAAGAAAGATAATGAAGTAGGGTTGTTTTTCTTTCACTGCTTTTTATTATGGAACATTTTAAATATATACCAAAGTAGAGAGACTAAAATAATGACCTCATGTACTCATGACCTGGTTTCAGTAGTAGTCAACATTACCAAGCTGTTTTACTTATACAAACCTCCCGTAATTATTTTAAAGCAAATCTCAGACATCATATTACCTCACTGTCAAATAACTTTATATGTGATTGAAAAGACAAGGACTCTTCTTTCTTTTTTTTCTTCCTTCCCTCCTTCCTTCCCTTCTTTCTTTTAAACATAATTGCAGTTCCATTATTATGTCTAAAAAATTTTAGCAAACTTTCTTAATATTATCAAATAGCTGATCAGAATTCAGATTTCCCCAGTTGACTCATAATTGTCTTTGTACAGTTAATTTGAATCAGGATTTGAATAATGTCCATATACCATATTTGTTTGATGTATCTCTTAAGTTTCTTTTTGTCTGTCCTGGTTCCACCTCCCTTTTTTTTCCCTTGCCATTTCTTAAACCTAGTTATTTGTTCTGTAGAATTTTCCATATTCTAGATTTTGTTGCTTACATCCCCATGGTAGTGCTTAGCATGTTCATCTATGCCTTTTTATTTCTGGTAGTTAGATCTAGAACCTTACATAGATAGATATAGGCTTGATTTTTATTTTGGGAAGAATATTTCATAAATGGTGTATACATTCATCAGAAAATATATGAGCTGTTTGTCTCTCTTTGTGATGTTAACATTAATTAGTTGATAAAGTTATTGCTAGCTTGATCTACTATTTATTGTAAAATTTTCCATCAGTCTT